CACCAAAATTCTGCGCCCATCTAATCATACAATCTTTAATTAATTCCGTTTCTGAGTCCATTTCAACTAATACCCCATAAATTCTCTTGATATGGGTTTGTCTTTGATCCTTGACTTGCTTAATAAGATTTCCATCTTCTCTAAGAAAACCCAATTTACAATCCACCTTCCATTTATCTACTAGTTGCCTATATTGAAACCAAGAATAAATAATATTTTCTTGCGCTAAATCTTCCCGTAATCTTAACTGCCAGTTTTGCCCATCCCATCTAAGTAACTGACTATAAGACACCATGTCCATTTTTACTCCTCTTTTTATTCCTTCTATGCATGCCAAGGTATAGCCCATAATGGAACTTTAAAATCACTTTTATAATATTTTCTCCAAATCCTAAGTAAAGAAATTCTTAAAATATGAGATTTAAAGACCCAGTCCATTTTTTTATTAAATATTAAATAGGCATGCCACCCATAAAGTAAATCCCATCCCTCTAAATGAAGTATCTCAGGATTTGTCAAATTTACCCAATCACTGATTAGTGTTAAGACCACCGCATCGTAATATAATTTCAAATTTGGTACCTTAAGTCCACCCCTCTCACGGAAGTCTTGCATAATTTTAAACTTAACCCTTGGCTTTTTCCCTGCCCAAATAAATTTATTAAGACCCTTCTGCCACTCACTTAAATTAATCTCATTTTTCAAAATCGGTAACATTTGAAACAAAAAAAGAAACTTGGGTAGAATATTCATTTTTATCACTGCAATTCTTCCCATGAGGGATAATTGCAACTTCTCCCAATTCTTCAAGTCCTTCTGTACCCTGACCCACAACCTTTCATAATTATTTTTAAATAATTTTACATTAGAAACAGACAACATCACCCCCAAATATTTTACCTTATTAACAATCTCAAAACCCGTCAAGTTAGCCAAAATCTGCTTCTCCTGACTAGACATATTTTTAGGTAAGATTTTAGTCTTATTTACATTAATCTTGAAACCCGAAACCAAACCATAATGATGAATCAACTGTAATAAGTTTACTGCAGAATAATCAGGTTGCGACAAAGTAACAACCAAGTCATCCGCAAAAGCTCTCAACTTATATTCTTTTTTGTTAACTTCTATTCCTTTAATTTCCTGAGACTCTCGAATTTTGATCAATAATATTTCCAGTGTTAAAACAAACAACAATGGCGATAAAGGACACCCCTGTCTAGTACCTTTCTCTATTGTAAAAACCTCCGACAAACCTCCATTAACAATAAGTTGTGCCATTTGTTTTTGATATATTACCGTAAGAGCTTGTAATATCTTTTCGCCAAAATTCATTTCTTCCATTACTCTTAGCATAAAATGCCAATTCAATTGATCAAATGCTTTTTCAGCATCTAAAAATATGAGCCCTGCAGGAACTTGGTTGTTCTTGTCTAAATATTCTAATAGATTAATAATTTGTCTAACATTATTTTTCATATACCTTCCTGTTATAAACCCTGATTGATCTTTATGCACAAGATGATGCGCCAATTTACTGATTCTTATGATAAAAATCTTATTTCTTAATTTTTTCCAGATGAAACTAGTCTTCTAAAAGAAAAAAGAATCCCAATCCATAATTAGATTTACATAGATTTCCTTTTGACTTTTCTCCTCTTCTCTCTCTGTAATTAATTTCTGTTTTCTCCTATATCTGTTTTTCTTTTGCATAAAATTGATTGTTCTGAAAAAGGAGATTATGATGGATATGCATTGATGCATAATGCAATCACTGAGAGCAACAGTAGCAGTCACAAAATTCTAAGTTAGGATTAAAAATAGCAAATGACACTTTTCCTGAGGAAATTCAGATGTACAGACTGGATGATGGACATATTTTCCCCATCTTTACAATGGCAAGCATAGTATAACTGCAATACAATCAGGAATGTTTATATGGCAGACACACTACTCATATCACTCAGAAGTGATTGTTACAACAGAACAATTCACTTCTTTTCAGCTCCCCAAATGAAGAGTTATCTGCTTTTTGATCTGCATTGGGAGAAATTCTCCTAGGACCTGTACTTTTAAGTTAAGCTAGTGAAGTAGATTGCAATGAAATTCAGTGTAGTGTTTTGTGTCTCATAAAATTTGCTACCGAACAGCAGGGTGATGGTGCTAGTGGCTTAAAAAAGAATCAGCTACTTAATGGAAAATAAAACTATCCATGAGTAGTAGCTTTGAGGTTCTACCCCCATTTTCAGAATCTGTATATCCTAAATACCAATAGTTAGGGATAAAAACAGGAGAAAGTGTTTATTCACTACTTTTGGCTGGATGAGGTAGGCATTATAAAGCATGAATTTTCATATTCTTAAGTAATTTTCATATTTTTTCCATGATGTTAAGAGAGCAGCATTACAAATTGCTACAAATTGAATGTATGGATTAAGGAAGAGAAAAATTTAAATTCATGGGTTGATAATGATATTTTCAATAGATAATCAGAGGGTATGAGAATAAGAGAGCTCTGGAAGAAAGAGTCAAGGTTTCCTTATTACTATAGAGTCATTCTATGAGGGAGATGGGTGGTTTCTAAATACAATAAATAAATATATTGAAGACCATGAAGCATGGTACAGAAACCCTAAGAAAGCAGCTAGAGGTATGGAAAGGAGTTTAGAAGGCTAGATCAAAACTATTTATATAGAAGAGGGAGTAATATATTGATAAGGATAGAAGGTTTAAAAAAAAGTGCAGAAAGTCAAGAGTGAAGCCATGATAAATCAACCACTGCTTAAAGAGTTGAAGAGTTTTGAATGTTTAATCAGATAAGCAGAATAACTATTTCAGAACATGACTATAGAAACTCAGGGCATAAAAAGAATGATTAATAGAAAGTTTCTTAGTTGTAGTGAGATTTTTCACTCATTAGTGAGTTGTGGTGGTAGATTAAGAAGAATTCAGGAAGGTGGAAATGCCATTAGATAGGATCATAAGTGAACCTGGAGAATAAATAGTTGAGATGGCATGAGTAAATAACATGTGTCAGAAACTGAAAGCAAAAGAAAATTGAAACTACCTGGAGAGGGAAAATGGGACAAAGGTAGTTACCCTATGATAAGATGGGTGGCCAATAAAGTTTACAAATAACTAAATGAAGATGAAGATATTTTTTTGGCTGGGGTAATATTGCATGTTTGAACACATTAAAGAAGAATTAGGAGACATTAAGAGAGCTATGAATTTGCTGGAGCCCTCGTGATGGGGAGAAAGGGCAAGGAAGGAACCAATCAAAGGATATAAATTGATAGTTCAGATGTGAAGTAGTTGGGAGAAAAAGTAAAGAGAAGAAGTAAAAAGAAGAGTGAGAAAGTGAGTGAGCAGAGGGAAAGTTGACCTTAGCAAAGTATTTATGTATCAGTATCAAAGATAAAGAATAGGTGCTGAAGCTTTCTTAAGACTACATAAATCAAAATGATATAATCCTGCTATTTAATCTTGTAGATCAGCAAACTCTTATGATGCAAAACGATACACATTTAATGACATTATCACAAATCTACAATTATATTCTTGCCTGTGTCTGGTGCAAATAGATAGTGACATTTGCATGATAATGTCTTTACACATCTTTTATAATCTGCTGTCCTTTGCTCCTGCTGTTCCCTATCGGGTAGAAAACATGGATTTATATCAGGTCAATGCTCTTGCTTACTTTTAGACCTAGATGAGCAACTGATGTACTGAATGATGCAAAGAGCCAATGTTGAAGACTTAAAAGTCGAACTTATCAAGACTTGAAGAGAATCCATTGTTGGTGGTTAAGTGAAGGATTGGAAAGCAAACAAAAATATAAGAAGAGAAAAAAGAAGACAGTGTTTCAAAGGAAATCAGAAGATCAATAATCTGGAAATCACAGAAGGAGCAGAAGGCAAAACATAGGATGGATGGACATGTGTGATGTAGAAGGAGACACAAGAGATTTCACTACAGACACATCAACAAAAGTAAAAAAAGAAGTCAAGGTCAAGACATTGCCCAAGGCTCTTCATGTGCCGGTCTGGTGTGGAGAAGACAATATCTAACAACACCTTTCACTTCTCCTTTCAAACAAACCTATCTTTTGATGATGGCAAAATAAAAGGAACAGTCAGAAGTTCAATAGAGAGAGAAGTTTTTTTCTTATTGGCAGCTGATACAAATGAGATTGTTGCTTTCTCCCCGTGAATTGAGGCGCTAATCAGAAGTGAAAAATCTCCAGGGAGCCGAAGGCTGAGCAGCTGAAGAACAAAGTGATAGCTAGAGAGGAAGGAGAACAGCAGCCCAGCCAAGCTTGCCTGCAGCTGCAGTGACAAACATAGTAAAAGAAAAGATTGAGTCTAGTATATTAGTGAGAGATGTCACCAAAGAGATCTAGGCAGTAAGTTGAGAAGTTGTCATGTCATCTACTAAAGAGACCCCAACAGAATAAACCTTGCAGGAATGGTCTACAGAAGCTTTAAAAAATTATGTGGGAATAGATTTTAGAGACTGTGAAATTTATCCATATTCTGAATATTTCCATTAAGGTGTAGAATGAAAATTGATTTTCCAATTTCTATGAACTCTGTGCTATCATCATATGTTAGATTGATTGTGTGTGTGTGTGTGTTTGTGGTTTGTAAAGGCAGTCTATTCTTCCCTGGTGAGTGCTCTCTTGATACATTGCAGTTTTATTCCCATAATACCTAAATAAATAGGAATTAGGAGTTTTTAAACCCAAGAACTAGAGAGCATCAAACAGATAATTCTACCTTGAATGAAATGCAAGTTTGGGGAGCATCGTTTTTTGCTTATGCAACAGTGATTTTTTCCCCTAAAAGTTTTCTGTAAATGAATAGAAGTAAAACACAGAGATTAAAGTCAACGTCATGTGTAGAGGATGACAGGATGTCTTTCCAAGTAGTGATCAGTACAACTCTTACTGGCATCGCATAGCTGAGACTTCATTTCCGTAGTTACCAATGATTAATCACCAGCTTCCAAATTGTTCTTTTAGCTGGGAGTGGTTGTGAGAGCTGGCCTGGAATTTTGAACTGCTGCTAACACAGAATTTTTAGTAAACAATACAAGTCCAAACAGTTACAGTGGGACTTTGCCTTGCGTGTGTTCCTTGTACTCTCTGCATCATGAGAATGGATCAAGAGCACAATGCAGAAAAAGACAGTAAGTAAACAAGACAGGAGTATCTCAGAAAACAGAATTTGCTATACTGTTTTGACCAATGACTTACAACTTGTATTTTAGAGTGATGATTTAGCCCTGAGCTACAGTACGTACTTTGTGATTCACTTTTAGACTGTTGTGGAAATTTGGCTCACACTGAAGCATGGCTCTCAGAAACTGAAGGACGGATCATAATATTTGCTGAAAGTCCTGTGCAAAATTCCCTTAGACTCTTTTGATTTTCATTTGTAATTTGAGATCATTCTTAGTTTGCATTTTTTGCTGGTCTTAGTGATCGGAAAGTTTAGTGACCATTTATTATCCAACTCATAAGGATAATATGCTGGGTTATAAAAAGCTGGTTATGCAGCTCTGAGCTATTTGAAGGCATTGAATTCATAAGCATTTTGTAGAAAACAGTCAAGTTATTATTTGTAAGCACATTCAAAGATGGACAATTTAATTTTGAGCACAGGTAATACATTTATCTGGCTCAGAGATTTTTCCTCCTAAATATTTGCATATCAAATCTTGTTGCCAGTAAATGAATACTTCATTTTTTAAAAACAAAATTAAGATGTCAAGTTGATATTAATCTCTATCCCACCAGGAACCAACATATTCAACTTTAACCATAGTGAGAATTGAATTGAAGCCATTTTCTTTATATACATTAACTGAGATTTTGTTTGGAACAAAAGCAATTTTTGTGGCATCAAAAGTTGTACAAATTCTTCAGTCTGCTCAATTTACAACTGACTAGAGAAATCAAGTAGTGCACCTTAGACTACTTAAACATCTCTATCCACAGAAAAGATCATACATTGCAGCAAATCATAATTATTGGAGGCACTCATCTGCTTTCATTTTGGTTTATATTCCTTGACTGTTACAATGGTAAAGACTCCTCTTCATAAAGCCTGAAAAAATTGGAAATGTAATTGATCCTATCCAACTGTATTGAATTGTTGAACCCTGTTATTTATTCTTTACTTATACAATCTGAGATCTTCAAACTTTAGGGGGCCAGTGAGTATCTTGGAATTTTGAAAATATATTTTGTGCATTCCCATAAAATGGCTGCTGTGAGAGGGTTCCCCATTCATTAAAAGAATTCAGTGACAGATATGACTACGCATCATTTTTCAAAAGGCAACCTGGTAAAGTTGAAATTTGCCCAAGTACAAAGCAGGGTGATCTACAGTTAAACCCTACTGGTTTTAGTTCCAATGCCTATTTTGAAAGCTGCAATAATACAGCTAGTTTCTATGGGTTTCTTCAAGAATTAGTGGCTTACAACTTATCAACATTGACCAATTGCTCCTTCACCAGAATGGACAGGCAAAAGTTTTTGGAGAGCAGAAACTGACAATATCACCCACTTTAATTTCCAACTTACCTTTAATGTGACCTCAGGACATGCTTTTCTGCTCCATTTCCATAGTATACTTTTTCCTGCAGTTTTCACATGCAAATTAACTTGATTTACAAATGAAGTAACTTCCCAATGTACAGTATAAGGTGTTTTTTTTTTCAGATGTGGATTCTTTAACTCCAATAGGCAACTTTACTTAGGTCCATTTCTCCTTGTTTAAGAGATGTTTATTTTTGTTTTTAAATAGCTGTACAAAAGAACTGTTTGTTCCTGCCTGAATTTTCTTCTTCCCACAAAGAAGTTGGAATTAATAGCTCACAAACCAAAGTGCACTTATTTGATCTCTGTGGTATCAATAATCTGCACAGAAATTGGCTTATGTTGATGCATACCAACTTGAGGTTCTGCTTAAAGTGCCAGATCACTTGCACAGATTTCTCCAGCTTTCCAGCAGTTGCAATAGATGGGAATCTGGAAATTGTAGTAGTTCAACATATTTACAGGGTATTTGGCAAATGAAACCTGGGAAGGTGCCTTTCTTTCCCTATATGTCAGACTCAAAAAACCAAGAAAGACATTCAGAGTCTCAGCTGTTTCCTTTATTGTTCTTCACGTATAGACAAAAATCTTGACAGACTGAAGCAATTACTCACATTATTAAAGATATACTCTGATAACTTCTAAGAAGGAGCTATCTTGACCTTCTTTCTCCCAACCAAACTATCTAAATGTCACAGTCTCTTATTCCTCTGCAATGCAGCCCCCCTCCTGGGAATCCAGACTGTATTCCACCATACTATGTGCATCAATTTGCTACATACCACCAAGAAAGCAACAAGAGATTATCATGTAGGGAATGTTTCCAGTAGCATGTAGGACAACCCTGCTCAACATGTGCCACATCACTTCAACTATAGCAAGCAATATATGTCATGTGATTTGGATGAGGCCCCAATGGAGCAAACTAAATTTTTTATCAGGATGTGGATTAGTGGTCACACATTTTTCAAACATAAATTTAGTCCCCAAATAGTTAGCATTCTCAGAACCTTTTTAAAGAACAAATCATGTAGCCATAGACAACTATAACTAGCCGCAAAGACCACAAAATGGAGCAACGTTTGTTATGATGCAAGTATCTGAGAAGCAGTATTTGTGGCACAGTGGCCTTGAGGTGAAGACCCTCACCTCCCACTAAGAAGGCTGAAAGTTCAATCCTAGACAGCAAAAAATATTTCTCTATCAGGGTGCAAAGAGATAATATCTGGTGTGAACTCCTTGTAGGCACCACCAAGGGCATCTGACTAGTAAATGCTCAGCACCACTCAGTCTCCTCAACCCCATCCTGAAGCAAGGGATTACAGGGTTGTAAAAAGAAAAAAAAATGTGAGAAGTGGTATTTGTATTGTGACGTACCAAAGCATATAGCATCTCCTTATATATCCCCAGTGCTGCAATACTTATATGAGTAGCCATGATTTAATATAAAGATGCTATAGATATCTCGATATCTCCAGTTTCAATGGTGGCTGATATTTGAGCAGAAAAGGATGAATTGAAGATTTTGTTTAAACCATTCTTTTTATTCAGCAATTAATATACATGCTAGTTCAAAGTGGCTATAAACTAGTCATTATAAAATCTCTTTAGACTGATTTAAAACTTCAGTTTGATTTTTGTACATGCCATAGATAAGGTTAATTAAAAAGGGAAGAGTCTGTGTATGTGACTCAAGCCATTCCAAAAATAATTTCTCTAATAAAGAACAAAGTTATAAATAGTTCTGTTTGGAGAGTATGCTTTCAGACCTGTTACTATAGCAATCCAGCTGGGAAAATACAATACTATGTTGAAATTCAGCCAGAGAATATTCATGTGTTCTCATGTTTATTTCTATAATTTATAAAGTTGCAGCTTTGACTACTCTCATTTGAAACTAATAGACTACTTCTGGTAATTTGGGGAGAAATGAATAGAAACAATAAAGATTTTTGGAGTCACTATAATTATAGAATTAATTCATTTAGATATTCATCTGTATAGCAAAATAATCATTGTGAAAAATTAGCTGTTCTTTGTGATTAGGAGTAACATGTCAAAATGACAACCTAGAACAAAGGATAAATTTCCTGACAGAACAGTTCACCGGTGGAATGACTTGCCTCCAGAAGTTGTGGGTACTCCAACACTGGAGGTTTTTAAGAAGAGATTGGACAAACATTTGTCTGAAATGGTATAGGGTTTTCTGCTTGAGCTGGGGGTTGGACTAGAAGATCTCCAAGGTCCCTTCCAACTTTGTTATTCTGTCAAAATAGCCTAGGTATTGAAAGAAAGAATGGGTCTCCAGATTTTTTTTAGAGCAGTGAAATTTGTGAGTATTCCCACAAAGTGCCTCATGTAGGAGAACATCTCCATTTATAAAAGGACTGCTGTGGGAGTGTGGTTAGTTGTAGATGGTCATTTTCCAGAGAGAAACTATTGAGACCAAACAAAAATAATTTGTGGATAAATCTAAGAGCAAAGCAGAAGTGACATCTCCCATTGAAAAACACACCTGTCCCAACATTCAGGAAAAAAGAATAATGTGGTTCAACAGTATTCTTGTAAATAAAGGTGATGCTGTAAGCTACAGCAGGCTAGTATAATGGTTATTTTCTTAAAATATCTTAAATAAATTACATAAGAAGCCCGAAGAAGCACAAAAAAAGTACCAAGTACAAACTATCTATGGGCATACTAGGTGCAGCAACTTGTGGAAGTCAAAATGAAAATCTCAATTTATGAAATAACTCTTATTTTAATTAACATTTAATTAAACATAAACCTCACATGATACATTTTAATTTTTCCATAACTTATGATGCACATTGTTTCCAGATATGCCTGCATATTGCTTATATAACTAATAAAATCCCATCATTCCTCATGGTATAATGATCTGCAACTCATTCATTTTATTTTACAGATATATAATAACACTTATTCTTACACAAACTGTACAACATGTCGCATATTACCCATATTTTATATTTTAATGAATTCAGTGCAATGTAAATGCAAGTCAGTATATTGGTAGGATAATAAAAAATTCTTATGAATTTAGTGGCTAAATTTCCAGTTCCCACAGCAATTCCTACCTATATTGCAGAAATATACAGCATTTTTTTTTTGTGTGTGTGTGTTCTGGTACAGGTAATCCTCAATTTACAATTGCAGTTTGGGGAATTTCCATCATAAGTTAAGGGCAGTTAGAAGTTAAGGCATCATCAATTGTATGATAATTATTATCATGATCATTAAGCAAATCACTGTAGTCTTTAAGTAAAAAAATTAATTAAGCGAATCATATGTTGAGAAAATCCAGTTTCCCCAATGAATTTCTTTTTGCCAGAATCAGAACAAAAGGTCACACATTGCGACCACATGATTGCAGGATACCACAACCACTCATAAATGTGAGTCAATTGCCAGGTGCCCAAATTGTGATACCTTGACACAATAGTGATAAGTGTGTACAGGTCATAAACACTTTTTCCAAGGCTATTGTAACTTTGAACTGTTATTAAATAAATGGTTGTAAGATGAGGACTATGTATACCCAGTAGTGGGATTCAGCTGGTTCACATTGGTTTGTTGAGTTCAGTGAACTGGTTATGATAAATCTGTGTTTTCCGGAACATGTCTGGTTTTCATTCAACTTCCTTCCAGGTGGGCAAAAACAAAAAACCCTCCCCAAAAGTCGAAGAGAGAAGCGACAGAAACCAAATGGAGATGCGGTGCCTTCGATCACATCAGCGGCCTGCCCGCCTCTTCCCTTTCACTCTCCTTCTGAGCTGGCTTGCCATGCTATGGAGGATGGGCATTACCTGTTCCCCCTCTGCCTTTTTGGAGCCAGGGGGGAGTGATGGTGAAAGGCTCTGCCACTGCTGCGCAACGGCCTTGTCTGCTACTGGAGGGGATTTCTTCAGGCCCCGCCACCTCCCTCTGCCACCCAGGAAGGAAGGAAGGAAGGAAGGAAGGAAGGAAGGAAGGAAGGAAGGAAGGAAGGAAGGAAGGAAGGACGCTTTGTATGGAAGGACGCTATGGTAAGCTCCGGGAATACTATGCCAGCTGGACCTGGGCGAGGAAGTCCTGGCTCAGATCCACTTCTCAAGGGCTTTGCAGAACCATTGGGGAAGGGAAGCCTGGCCTTCCTCGCCCAGCCCCAGCTGGCATAGTTTTCCCAGAGCTTACCGTAACGTCTTTCTATATGAAGTGTCCTTCCTTTCTTTCCTTCTGCCGGGAAGGAAGCGGCAGAAAATGAAGCTGCCATTTCCAGATGAAGAAGGGAGATGCGGGCCAATGCAGGGAAGAAAGAAAGTGTGGACCAGAGATCACTGCACTGAGGAAGGAAGGAAAGAAGGAAAGAAGAAAGAAGGAAAGAAGGCTCAAGAACACCCGAGGAGACACTCCCTTTCTTCCTTTCCCAGCTGGGACAAATTTTATTAATAAAATTTATATGCCGCCCAATCCCTAGGGACTCAGGGCGGCGTACAAAATTAAAACAATAAATATAACAATAAAACAGTAAAATAAGTGCATTCATACAGCATGTCCCAATCGTATCCCAGCCCCCCTGGGGACATCAACCCCAGGCCGGCCGGAACAGGAGAGTTTTAATGGCTTTCTTAAAGGCCGGCAAGGTGGGAGTAGTTCAAATCTCGGGGGGAAGTTGATTCCATCAGGTCGGAGCCACCACAGAAAAGGCCCTTCCCCGAGGGCCCGCCAGCCGACATTGTCTGGCCGATGGGACCTGAAGGAGGCCCAATCTGTGGGATCTCACCGGTCTCTGGGAACTATACGGCAGTATGCGGTCCTTCCTCAGGCAGTTTACTCCACCCCCCCTTACTTTTAGTGTTTGGGGAAACCTGTGCCTATCTGTGTTCTTCTAAGTTGTTCTTCAGGCAGAGAACCAGTTGTTAAATTATTTGAATCCCACCACTGTGTATATCTGACATTGAATTGAACAAGATAATGAATTGAACAGGAAATACTAACTGGGGAAATTCAGCGAGTTGAAATCCATATATCATAAAATTGCTGAGGCTGACAAACACTCCTCTAGAACAAGAGAGCTAACTTGCAGGCCTATTTTCATTTGAACTCCAGGATATAAAACCATTACTTAGATCAATTAACTGCAGCACCCCTTGAATCTAACACTGGGATAAGCAGCAGGCAAGGAATGAAAGCTACATCTGAGTTAACCAAGATCTTGGAAGTGCAGTTGTTAAGCAGCTGGAGCAGAGTTGGAGCTATTTGCTAATCCTGCTGCAACTTTTGGGAGGGAAGGTAGGGACAAAATGATAACAGGCTACCTTTCCTGTAAACATCCAGTATTTCAAGCACATTGTCTGCAGTTCCAGCAACATACATAAGCTATGTCAGCACACTATTTTTTTTCTTCCTGCCAAATCCCCAAGCTACTATTACACTTTTGCTATTTAAAAAAAAAAATCTGCTTGTTGTTGAAGGAAAAAAAAAAACTGCTCAGGGGAGAAATAAAAATATGTCCATCTGTTAGCAAAAAAAAAAAAAAAAAAAAGTTGCAATTTTGTCTTGCAAGACTGCTGGGTTTGGTCATTTATTGAATGAGCCTAGCCGGAGGAAGAAAAGGCAGGTACACTGATTTAAGGATCCATAAATTTGCCTCGTTCTATAATGTTCACCTGGAGGAACATTGTCCATGGGGTCGCGATGGGTCGGACACGACTTCGCAATTAACAACAACAAATAATGTTCACACCACAGAAGCAATTTCTACCTTTTCAAGGCAAACGCTTCACCCTGCTTTCATTTATTTCATCTGCTATGTAGGCAGCCAGATGTTATTCTGTAGAGTACATACCCTCTGCTAGAAGCTGAACTCATGGATCTTTGCACTTTAGATAAGTATTTGCAGTCAATTCATTCAGAATAACATTAGGCGATCAACATCCAGTGGTGAGATTCAGCTGGTTTGCACCACTTGGGCAGAACCGGTAGCTAATTTTTTGTTGCCCAGGCCCAGAATGGATTTCAGGAAGCAGCATCCATACAGAGAACTGGTTGTTCGCATATTTGAATCCCACCACTGTCAACATCTAATGAGTTTCCAATGAGAAGAAACCAGTCTTATATTGGTTCCATCAATATAACTCATATAGGAGATAAACTTGGTTTGAATTATGAAATTTTATCCCGCTGTGAGGGAAGAGGTAGAAATTAAATAAAATCTACGCAGGTAGACTCCACCTAGAGACTGTCTTGTTTAGAAACTATATGAAGGAACAACAGGTAAAAAAATTAGTTTTGCAACAAACTACAAGTTCATAGTTTCTTGTATTTTTAAACATTCAGGCTTATTCAGTCAAAGTTTGTGACCAACCATCCATCTGGGTCAGAACTTTGGACCCAGTTCTGATTCTTTTTTCCCCCCAGAAAAGTCCATCATGATTTTTTTAAGGAAAGAAATGAACCAATATGAACCTCAAGAGTACAATCGATGTAAGGAATTTAGTGTGAAAAGAATTCACAATAATAAAAGTTACTGCATATTTGCTTGTCTCATGGAACAACAACAACAAAATCTTTTGCCTATATATTCAATTTAATTGAGGCAACCTTCATATGAAGTCTTCTGCAGTTTGTTTATTTCTTCTATTCTTTTTCATGAGAAGAAAATAGAAATTGTTTTTTTTTTTGCTTTTAGCAGAAAATTCTGTTCAATCAAAGTGATGAATGATGGCATCAAATAACTATTTTCCTTTTAGAAATGTACTTTGTTAGCAGAAGGCATTTCCTGTAACATCCATGGATATATATTGTTTCTTGTATAGATCTTTAAAAGGATACAAAATACTCTACTATAGTACTTAAGAAGAAACACATTTTTCATTGGTTGAGGGGGAAAAACCAATAATTCATCAAAAGCTTCATTTCTTGTAACTCTCATTTATTTGTAGAATAGTATTATAGATTGCTAAAAATCTGTCTGACTAAATGTTGACTGACATGCTTTTCTTTCCACATATGAACTGGATAATTTTACGTTTACCTTAGAATATGAAGAGGCTTCAAAAGCAAAATGAATGCATCATGTCATCGGGACAATCCTTCCTGACTTTTAGTAGATCATTTCTGACATTCTATCTGGTACTGTAAACTCTGTCTCTGTCTCTGCTCTGTCTCTGTCTATGTCTATGTCTCTGTCTATGTCTCTCCCTCCTTCCTTCCCTCCTTCCCTCCCTCCCTCTCTCTCTCTCTTTATCTATCTATCTATCTATCTATCTATCTATCTATCTATCTATCTATCTATCTATCTATCTATCTATCTTCTAAAAAAAAACTTCCAGTGTTGGAGCATTTACTGCTTCTGGAGGCAGGATGTTCCACTGATTAATTGTTCTCACTGTCAGGAAGTCTCTCCTTAGCTCTAGGTTGCCTCTCTCCTTGATTAGTTTCTCAGTTGCTTCTTGTCCTGCCCTCAGGTGCTTTGGAAAATAGCTTAATTCCCTCTTCTTTATGGCAGCCCCTGAGATATTGGAATACTGCTATCATGTCCCCCCTTGTCCTTCTCTTTGTTAAATTAGACATCTAGTTAAACTAGACATCTATCTATCTATCATCTATCCATCTACAAAAATAATTAAACACAATGTTAAAAAGTAATGAGAAGGCAAAGGGAGGGCTTTCAGGGCAATAACCAGCCCCACGGTTGCATGTTCCTCTGTGCTCTCTAAGCAAGACTGCAGAGCCATGTCATTCACACCTTTCCTGAAGGCCAGGAGAGTGGGCGCCTTCCTCATTTCACATGGTGTAGGCAAAGGCAGAGAAGATCTCTTCCTGGACCCCGCTAGTTGCAATCCTTTAATTGATGGAGTCTGCAACATATCTTCCCTGCCTGACTGAGTGGGATGAACAGATTTGAATGGGCTGAAGACAGATCCGTAAGTAGCTTTGCCCCATATTCTATATGTTATGCACAAAAATAAGATGGCTGTTTTATATCATTCACTGTTTACATTTAAAATAGCTACCCTGGAACTGGAATCAGAGCCTGAAAGTCCTTCATTGCCACTTATGGATCTGTTTACCCCAATTGGTCTCGATACATGGACTTTTCGTGATCATGGTATGTATACATAACCCATTGAGCTATATTGATGGTTGCATTTGTATAACTACAGGAGCACAAGTTTTTTATCAGGGCAGTGTTTCTTATCTTCTTGTATTTTAATATATGCATTTTTTTAAAAAAAAAATTTCTACATATTAGACAATGAACTTTTGTCTGTGCAGAGATACCCTAGTACAGGGGTAGTCAACCTTGGCTCTTTTATGACTCCTGGACTTCAACTCCCAGAATTCCTGAGCCAGCACAGCTGGCTCAGGAATTCTGGCAGTTGAAGTCCACGAGTCATAAAAGAGCCAAGGTTGATTACCCCTGCCCTAGTAGTTCAATCTTGACATAAAAGGATTCCTCTCAGTAGATTGCCTTCTGTCTTAGAAAGAAGTTCAGGTAGTATCTTCAAAGAACCTTTCCTTGAATTCCAAATTAGAAACATTCAAGTTCTCAAAACATCCTTGTTGAAACATAAGATTTGGGGAATTTAAAAGTGATCTTTCAGCACTAATATGAGCCAGATCTAGTCCTTTCAAGCTCCTGATCTGCACTGCAGAATTATTATTTTGTCCTATATATGGACAAAGAATTAGTGGAGCCCTTGGTGTTCTTTGAACATTTTATTACCCAACTAAATAATAACATCAGGACTAGAAAGTGTGGGGTTTTCTCTCTTTTATATGGAATAACTTGCCCTGGAGCAGGTATGATTTTTTTTTTAAAAAGTCAATTTCTTCTGAATTTAACCCATAGATGGCACAACCCTATTTAAGGCTGAAAGATATTTATAGAAAATATAAAACAGTAACAGGAGACTAAATCATAATATTCTTAATGCAGTCTTTGTTCATAAATTGGAATTCCTGGCTTTAAAAACATAGCAAATGAGTGTTCTTTCAAATATCAACTGGATTGATCAAAGCAATACTATAACTTGGGGAAAAATGTTGTGCTCAGTGAATCATGTGCAAATCATGCTCTATGAAATGCTGGAGAATAAAATCTTGGAATTATAATGATGTATTGTAGACTATTTTGCTTGTGACCATGTTAGGATTTTAGTGGAAATCTGTCAAAAAAAAAAAGAAAGTCAATACTGTCTGTCTTAAGTACAGCTAATATATTTGTTTATAACATGACATCACTGGAATGTAATAGAAATTGATGGATTAAAGAAAGACTAGTGAATCACAAATCATATTTTTAGGTCCCTGTGATCTGAAGGAGTGCTGTGCACCAGAAATTAATAGAATTGAAATAGAATAATAAACTGGTAAATGTGCTTTAAATAATAACCAAAACTTTTTACTTGAGGCATCACCATCAATCTTGTAAAGTATAAAAAAAAAATATCTTTGCTCAGTTTCACATTAAAACAATACCTATATCTTTTTGTGTAGATTTATTTTTTGTAGTTTGGTTAGGACTAAAAGCAAAATATAGAAATAACATAAAGTACAGTATTATCTTATCCATATGCTGCCCTATCCCATGATAAAGTATTCTAATTAATTCTCATAAAGAATACTAACATTATTTTTAGTATGCATCAACTTATGTGTTGCTATTAGTAAAAAAAAGGAAAAAATATACTACTGAAAAATACAACTGTTCTCATGTGACTTTTAAGATGAATAGCATAGAGCTATGATAGCTCAGCTATCTACCATATAAATCTTTCTCAGGCATGTAGTTGGCAAATGCCATATAACAGAATATATAACAAAGTTATGTTGAAGGCCCAGACTCAGACTGCAAACACTCTCCTGCTGCTGATGTTTTATGAGTTTAATTTGGTTTCAATGCTTTTACATATATTTTGCTTTTTTTAAATTTGCATTTCGCTTACTGTTTTCTGTTGCTATTTTAATTGTGCGATTCTCCCAGAGTCACATATATGAGATGTGTAGCTAGGCAAATGGAACAAACAAACGAATGAATAAATAGATAATAAATATGATTCAGAGAATAAATAGACACATTCACAGCAGCAGCTGATGAGAACACCTCAAACATCATAAATCATCTTTAGAGGCACCACACGAGCACAGAAAGGGGGTCTGATTGAACATGCCATCAGTGCTATGAGTGATTTTCTCTAGTTTTCATGTTGTACCCATCACTGTATGTATTTATTCATCATTATTCATTCTTCCTTGAACCTTTCCACCTAGGCAGGAAAAAGTTATTTCCACCTCCGGAGATGATGCAAAAGCTTAGTGAACAGAAGAGCAACCCTGTGTTGCTGGAGTGTAGGTAAGTCATTTTTTATTGCTTTTTCTTTTTGAAAATGTCCTCGCTCTGGTCCTAGTAGTTTGCTGAATTGCTTCCTTGCTCAATTTAGCAAAAGCTAAATCAAACCTGCAAATTCAATGAGTTGTCATCTCCAAGCAAGACAATAGAAGACTGGACCAAGTTAAAAGACTTGGCCTTATAGGAGTCTAGCAAGTACTACTTGCAATTCATTTCAACATAATGTCAACTCTGCAACAAACCTGGCTACAGCCATCTTGGTTGTTCTAGGTTGCCACATGAAAGGGAGGGGCTGTGGAGTGTCTTTGCTAGTCAAAACAAAACACTGTCCCGTGGGAACCAAGGTAATTCCTTTCTCCCAGGGTAGAGGGTTAGGCATTTTGTTAGAAAGCCCGCCAAATCATTCTGTTGGGGAACGTACTGTCAACTCTCAAATGAATTTGGCTGAAGCCATTTTCCCTTCATTTTCGGTTGCCACAGAATTGGGAGGGGGAATGAGTATTGTTTAGTTTAGACAAAACAATAAATTGTCCTGTGGGAACCAAGGTCATTGCTGATTGCATTTTGGCAGGCTAAAGCTTCCATTAGAAAACATATGCAAGTAGTTAATTGGGGAATGTGATTTATAACATATTATTGGGATGGAAAGTTCAACTTTGTAACATTGTAATCTTTGGGGGGAACTTCAGTCTTGGTTTCACTTTTGATCATGCCAATACTATGTAGCCAAATAAATGTTTCTTTAAGGAAACTTTTTTGCCTTGGAGCTGTCTTTTACTCATCTCATCTATTGGAACCATGACACATAGCTGATTTCATAGCAATGGGAAGTTTTACTTTGTAATAGTGAAACCCTTTGGAGGGAATTTCAGACTTGGTTTCACTTTTGACCATGCCAATACTTTGTAACCAATAAACATATTGTGAGAGAAAGCTCAAGCCTTGGAATTCTGATTTGTTGGTATTCATCTATCACAATGGTGGCGAACCTATGGCACACATGCCAGAGACCGCACTCAGAGCCCTCTCTCTGGGCACACGTGCCATGCCCCAGAGAAGGCAACTGCCCCTCTTCAACCAGCTGCCTGCTAACTCGCTGAGGTCCCACGTGGTCGGATGCATCCCGGCATGGCTGGTTTCCCTCCCCCCATCCTGTCCCTCCTGGCCTTGCATACTCTCCTTTTCCCGGGCACGACCCACTGCATCACCTCCTTAGCTGTTGGCCAGCCATCCAGCTGAGAGGTGGCTTCTTTGAACTGCTGGTGGCAGGCTGCGGAGCTCCAGAGTTCACCAGTCAAGGGGCTGGCAGGCTATGGCTGCTGATGGACACCATTGGCCCCCATGTGCTTGCTGGCATCTGTGTGTGTGGGCCAATGGTGTCAGGCAGCAGCTGCCCCAGCTCTTGCCTTGCCCCATGGCAATGGCACCCCCACCCAGCCTCGCCTCACCCCTCAGGACAAGCCTACTGTCTACTGCCCCATCTGCCAGAGACCACCTGGATCTCCCCCAACCCTGCCCACCCCTCCACAGGTGTCCCTTCCCACGAGCAACATTGAGGTTACCACACCTACCTTGGTCATACCCACCCAATCTGTCATGACCACCACACCCACGCCCACCCAGTGGGCCACACCCACCTGGCACCCAGCAATAAATAAATGGGTTTTGGGTTGCAGTTTTGACACTCGGTCTCTAAAAGGTTCACCATCACTGATCTATCACAATCATGACTCATAATTTTCTTCCCTATGCTACCCAGGCACCAGAGTGTAGAAAATAATAACGATTCAAAGAACACAGAGAATTATTTGTCCTTTCCACCTATATTATATGTACAGGTAATCCTTGACTTACAACAGTTTGTTTAGTGACCATTCGAAGTTACAACAACATTGAAAAAAGGAACTTATGACCATTTTTCACATTTAAAACCATTGTAGCATCCGTACGGTCATGTGATCAAAATGCGGATGCCTGGCACCTGACTCACATTTATGATTGTTGGCAGTGTCCCAGGGTCATGTGATCACCTTTTGTGACCTTCTGACAAGCCAAGTCAATGGGGAAACCAGGTTCACTTAACAGTCATGTTATTAATTTAACAATTGCCGTGTTTCACTTAACCAATGTGGCAAGAAAAGTCATAAAATGGGGCAAAACTCACTTTACAATTGTCTCACTTAGCAACATAAATGACCACTCAATTGTGGTCATAAGTGCAGGACTACCTGTACTGAAATCAAATGGATATATTCAGAATTAGAAATTCTGGGATGCAATGTTTTCACAAAGAAGTCTTCAGTAGGGCAGCCTGTTATGTCTTGGGCTGTGATTGACACAGCAGGTGCAGGAAGCTGCAGAGAGACCCGGGCAGACCACGTGGCTGCCCGGGCCAGAAGGCTGTCTTCAGCCTATTGCGCATGCGCAAGGCAGGAAAGATATGTTGCATTGATTGGTTGATGCTGTTCCCTGTAAAGGGGTATAAAAGGGATCCGCACCGTTTTGTGTTGTTCTGTTGAAGATTGAATAAAAAAGCAACTGTTGTTACTCCTGTCTCATCTCAATGCCTTACCAATGCTCAGAACAGAACACAGCCAATTCTGAACCGGTGTGTCAAAAACATGTTATTCCTGAAGTATGGTGTTTGGCACTTATTAATGAAACATGGCCCAAAACACTAGCCAACGTGGTTCTTCATAGACAATCATTATTTTCTGCCATTGGAGTTGCAAGGCTTAAGTCACCAGCTTCAATTTAGTCTGTTTTACTGGAGATGCCACAGACCGGATGCATATATGCTTTAGAATTGAATGTGTGCTTTCTGTCTTGTTAATTCTCAGGTTCCCTAGAATGACAGATGACATGGCCAGAAGTGCACTGCTCAGTTTTGTCAATTCCAAATGTTGCTATGGCAACAGAGCTGCAGGCGAGCTCTTCATTCAGGAATTGAAGCCACAGACCTTCCACAGAGTGAGTGTTTTGGGATAGGTTACCAGGGAGTGAACAAAGCCAGGTGGGGAAAATCAATAGCCTTGCACAAGTGAGACTTCTGCAACTGTTAGAAACTAGAAAAATGTGATGTTTGTTTAGAAGTTGGACTAACTCCTGAAGCCCTATAGGAGCAAACAAAATGTTTTAATGGCCTCAGTAACATTTTTTTCAAAACCATGTTGGTGATGGTAGACAGGGTGATCCAGAAGTGAGTTAAAATGATGTCTCAAAAGATCCAAAATAGAAAAATATTTTTTTTTCTCAGACTAAGGTTTCTAGAATTAATTAACATTTGATGACAAGTTGTGTTTCTCCACAGTATCGATTGGAAACCTTTAATGAAACAAGAGCATGTGAATGGACATTTGAGCCTTATGCCAGTAAGTAAACATTTAAAGAGATACATTTACTTCCAACCAAATCTTTATAAAGAGTTTTTGGCAGAAAAGGGTCCAGTCATTAAATGCATTAAATGCATCCTGCGCATACCACAAATGAACTTAGGACTCCCAGTTTCCAAATACATACATGTGTGGAATTTTGCATCAAATTTGTCCAAATATGGTATTTGATACAAACCCTGAAAATCCCAGTTTTATTTTAAGAAATAATTTATCACGAACACCTATGAGAGACAATATTCAAGGAGGTAGTTTTCAGTGGCATAGAATTAGGAGAATGCATTGGTAAAACAAAAAAGAAATCTCTAAATTTCCCATTAATAAATACCAAACATTGATATTCCAAGAAGGTTATGACCAAGTACTTGCTCAGTGATAAGTCAATAAATGATAGGATCATTGTTTATTAGAAATAGTGGATGTCCAGGAAGTGTTAGTAAATAATAAGTATATGCACTTACTAGAGACATAGTGATAGAAGACATTGAAATGAAAAATATATATCAAGATTTGATAAATACAGCATTTTGAAAGAACAAAATACTGTTAATGGAGTGATTGGAATGTGTAAGTGGAAAAAATGGAGAAAGCTGATGTTAAAAGAAGTTTTGGATTGGCTAAATGCAATAATGCAGGAGATATGTGAAAAACAATGAGATATAGGTGCATATTGACCTCATCATGTGATTTTGTAAAGGAAGATTGAGAAACAGGACTCCTGGTAAGAAGATCAATTGAATAGTTGGACACTTTTGAAACTGGCAGTGCTCATTAATAACAGTTAGAGGAGCTGTCTCTCTGAATTCTGCACGTGTGTTGGCAAATGAAGTGTTGGTTAGATTAGACCAGGGGTCTTCAAACTTGGCCCTTTTATGACTTGTGGACTTCAACTCCCAGAATTCCTCAGCCAGGCATGCCCGGCTGAGGAATTCTGGGAGTTGAAGTCCACAAGTCATAAAAGAGCCAAGTTTGAAGACCCTTGGATTAGACGTTAGTCACAACTCACTCTTTTCATCTGGCCAGAAAAATAGAAGAGCAGTATGTCTTCCTTGAACAATAATCTTTGTAGAGATGTGAGGGAGCATTTTTATCTCAGAATTTTAATCAATCAAGGTTAATGCTCCATCACATTTCCCCTGTGTAGCAATCACTTCTTTTTATTTTTAATTTAATCCAAAAGAGCAATAGACAGAGCCAAAGTTACAGTACCTCTATAACCTTAAGAGAGGAGATATTGCCAGTTTTAGTAGTTAAAATGGCCTGTTTTGAGTTCAAGGACACTTGACTTTCAAGTTCTTCTTTGTCCACTAGGTGACTTTGGGTTGGTCACCTTCTCTTAGCTCAACTCACTTTCTCATATAGATATGCTTATTACAAATAAAATAAACCAAGAGCTTCATACCCTCTGCCTTGAGTTCTCAGAGGAAAGATGACATAATTGAATGTATGTATGTTTCTTGTTCACTTACATACTACACAAGTCCAGTCACAAGGTAGGGAGATAGCAGAACAGCTAGCCAAATGTTTAAAAATGCATCTAAATATTAAAAAGAATAAATTGTTTACATACTATTAACAGTTAATATTTAACATAGTATAAACAATTTGTTCCAGTGTATTATAGAAGCACAGACCTGAAAGCAATCCTAGAGGTCATTTATTCCGGTTCCCTACAAGTGCAGGGTCCGCTAGAGCTTTTCTGACCAATGACCTTCCTCCCTCTGGTTGAAGATCCCTAGCAAAAGCAAAGTTATATGTTAAGCGGCAGCACTTTTGTGCTCCTTCAAATGTTAAAAATTGTCCTTGGACACTTTGCATCTTGAATCAACAGAAAAAAGTCCTTAGCTACTTTAAGGGAGGAAAAACAGGGCCTTTCTATCAACTTGCTCCTGGCATAATACAATAGAACCCTGAAAGACTTAGACTTGAACTAATAATTTTGTTAAGGTCAAGTGGACTAGCTTTTGCAGAAGAGTAAAAGCCTCCTGCTAAAGTAATTGGCATAATCTATGGTGAAAAGAGATGAAGGTTGCCAAGGGGAGGACTGTGATCTAAACATCTGAATTACCTCAATCAATCAATCAATGAATCATCAATCAAAGAAATAAAATTCTTGTATGCATTACAAGGGTTTCTAATTAACTTTAAGTGGTTAAAAATTAACTTTCCTTCAGGATAAGAAATTCTTGCAATATCTGAAATAATAAAAACTTTGAGAATGACAGTCTTGGAAAGAGTGACCTCACATAATGATATTCTCCCCCCAAAAAAACCCCCTAAGATAAGATAAGGTAAGGTAAGGTAAGGTAAGGTAAGGTAAGGTAAGGTAAGGAAAGGAAAGGAAAGGTAGGATAGAATGATAAGATAAGGTAAGGTAAGGCAAAGCAAGGTAAGAAGCTAAACTAAGCTAAGCTAAGCTAAACTAAGCTAAACTAAGTTAAGCTAAGCTAAGCTAAGATGATAAGAGCCGAGGTGGCGCAGCAGTTAGAGTGCAGTACTGCAGGCCACTTTAGCTGACTGTGTTCAGCAGGTCAGCGGTTCAAATCTCACCGGCTCAAGGTTGACTCAGCCTTCCATCCTTCCGGGGTAGGTAAAATGAGGACCCAGATTGTTGGGGGCAATGTAAATATATATATACATTGCTTACTGGTATACACCGCTTAGAGAGTGCTTGCACTTAAAGCGGTATATAAGTCTCATAAATAAATAAATAAATAAATAAGCTAAACTAAGATGATAAGCTAAGCAAAGCTAAGCTAAACTAAGCTAAGATTTATTGTCATTTTTTACTGTGGTCACACTGGCACACATTAAAAATGAAATTCTGTTGCTTGCTCTCAAAAGTGTACACATTTCATTCTCTGCTCCTCTTAACCTTTCCCTCCCAAATGAGTTAAATGCAGAAATGCAGTTGCTTTTTCTGCATTTCTGAAAGGTGAACTAGAAACACATATTTAAATAATTTTAAATTATTTTAAATAATTTTAAATATCATTAAAATAAGGAGGAAAAAATCAACTGAAAATAAACATACACATACACACTTTGGAGCATTAAAACATAGTTTACAGTTATTTGTTCATTAGTCAAATTTCTATAGTTATGCATTTATGGATGTAACTGTATGAAGAAATCAAAGACATTAAAGTTTTCCATTCAGTAGTTCTATGCATGAAAAAGTAGATTTAAAAAATGAGATTATGTATTTATCATAATCTTTTAGAAAGTCTAAGGTAAAAATAGGTAAAAATGGAGTGGAAAAACTAAATAAAATCATTCTTAAGGGAAGAGTCGGTTTGGTCTAGAGCAGGGGTGTCAAACTGCTGGCCCGTGGGCCGTTTGCATCATGCAGAGGCCACACCCATATCAGCTCCGGCAATGCAAAAAAAGTTGTGATACATCACAACACGTCACATGACACGGCGAGTTTGATCCCTGTAGTCTAGAGGTTAAGGCACCAGGTTAAAAACCAGGAGTCTGTGAAGTCTGTCAAGTTCCTCTTTAGCCATTAAAAATGACTGGGTGACGATGGGCCAGTCATTCTCTCTCAGCCCAGCTCACCTTATAGGCTTGTTGTTTGTAGGAAAATAGGAGGAGGAAGATGTGTTTGTTGGACATGTTTGTCACCTTAAGTTGTTTATAAAAAATGATAAGGGCGGGATATAAATAAATAAAAATAAAAAGAGTACTTCAAAACTCTTTATTACTGTGTTCCCCCCTCCATTTTTTCAGCCAAGTACAATTTCCCTCTGTAAAATGCCATTGATCCAGTGGTGGGATTCAGCCAGTTGGCACCACTTCAGCAGAACCAGTAGCTAATTTTTTGTTGCCCAGGCCCAGAATGGACTTCTGAAAGCGGCATCCACACAGAGAACCGGTTGTTCACATATTTAAATCCCACCACTGCATTGATCAAATAAAATATTGCAGTATTTTCCAGTCATAGACTCAGGAGCTAACAGCAAAAAAATATGGACTCTGTTTCTTTTGTTTCACTGATTTATAAGTTTGGGGAAACATGGATATCATACCTATAGGAAGATTAATTACTAAAGTTTGTTAAATATTTTTTCCTAATTTTCTTAAAACCTTTAATCCAAAAGAATTTCTGTAAGGGCTAGGGGAGACTGCAATATGTATCAGTTTGCCTGTAACTCCTGCTATACACCAAGAAAATTCTTGATCAATACAATGTAATTTTGTACAGTACAGTACAATGCCATCTATGAATTATTTCTACAGCCAATTCCAGATGGATGTGGAGAGAATTTTATGCCATGAAGACTTTCAAGCTGATTCATCAAATTTAGATTATAAATTCTCTTCCAATTTTTTTAAAAAAAGACTTTCAAGAAAACCTGTCAATATCTGATATAAAGAATGGTACAATATTGGACTGGTTCCCTTGATTCTAAACAAAGTAGGAATATACCATTTGTGAAATATTTTTAATGGTTGTAGTTGATGTCATGCAATAAGCCTTAACTTGTCATCTTTGACTCCAGTTGGAACTTGTGATGAATTCTTTGTAAAATATATTCAGCAGAGACAAGTTTTCCATCTCTAATCAATCTCTGGTCCTACCTGTTATCTGAAATCTTGTTCTGTCTCTCAGATGTATATCAGCAATACAGCACAGAAATGAGGGGATTTATCCACCTTTTTGTTTCTGCCTTTATTTCTCTCTTTCTTCATCTCTTCTGTGGCTGATGGCAAGAGCCTGGCAAGTAACTTGAAAGTTGGAGAAGGAGAAAAGCAATATAAAGGATAGCTGGCACAAATCATTTTGCTGCCTGATACAGAGCAACAAATGAACTTTCTCTCTTTCCTCAACCAGTCAACATGTGTTGTGCTCAAAGACAGGGAAATTCCAAGCAACCTTTTCTGTCCATCGCTAACAATAAATATACATTCAGTCTTTGAGTTTAATGGACCCATTATTATTTTTTTAGTGTCTTCAAGTCAGTGTTGACTGCTGCTGATTGACTGAACAAATCCCTGCAATTTTTTTGCAAGACATCAGAAGTCATTGCCTCCTTTTTAGGGCTGAGAGAAAGTGACTGGCCCAGGTTACCAGATAGTTTTGTGCCCAAAGCAGGACTAGAACTCACAATCTCCCAGTTTCTAACATGATGCCTTAGCTGCTACAGCCAGAATGGCTGTCTCTTAGTCCCACATCCAGGATGAAATAATAATAATAATAATAATAATAATAATAATAATAACAACAACAACAACAACAACAAAAAGTTGGAAGGGACCTTGGAGGTCATCTAGTCCAACCCCCTGCTCAGGGGCAAGCCTGCTGAATAGATTCCACCATTTTGTTGCAGGTCCCAAATCTATACTCTCAAGACAATAAAATAATGTAATAATGTAGTAAAATAAATGCAATACTAAGGATCAGCCACGATAGATATAAAAAATTGATAGGAATGTCTGATGAGGATAAATATAATTCAAAGATGCACTTTTAAAATGTTAGTTTCATTGACGATAATGGATTAAAAAATACTGAATCCTTTGTTGGATTGTAGCATATATTTGTTTTATTTTATCAGATGCTATGGTAGATGGTCCACAAAACGGTGTATCTCCTCGACCTTGGGATATTAAAGTCCAAGTTCCACAGATGTTTCAGGAAGACACAAAAAAGTTTCGTGTTCCCCATTCTTCTTTAGTCAAGGTAATTTTACCAAAACAAACAACAAACAAAACAAAATACCCCACCATTTGTTAAAACCATATTTTGATTAATGCCACTTTCTCACTTAACAACAGAAATGTTAGGCTCAGTTGTGATCATAAGCCGAGGACTACCTGTATATATACCACTTCTGCCGAACATAAAAACCCCTTAAACTTTTAACATTTTACTCATTGCCACCTTTCATGTATTATCAATCAGAATTCTGCCAAATATCTTCTTAGGAAAGCTTAACAAACTAATTGGGCGATACTGTTTATATTCACTCTTGCTACCTTTCTTTTTACATAGGGATACAAAATTGGCATTCCAACAATTATCAAGCACAGAACAGTTTTACCGTAAACAATAAATGTCAGCTCCATTCAATAAGAAAAACCACAGGCATATTTTAACATTTCTCCAATTTTTCAACATTCTCACCCATTTATGACTTCATTTCTAACACTTTTTTCCCCTGAACACTAATGTTTACAATTCCAGTCTTTGATAAATCACTGTAATTCCTGTGCCGATTTTTAAAATGCTCTTTCCAGCAACCTCTCTCACTTCTGCTTCATCCCAAATCTTTTTACATTTTTATTTTAAATTCTCTTTGCTGGGAACTCCTTATTTAGCCCTCTTCCCCCATTTTCAATGCATTTTTTGTTTCCTTCACAACTGCTGTTTGCTCTGCCTCTTTTAATTTTAACCATTCTTTGTTTTCTTTAGCACTCTATATAACATAATAATTTTCACTATTTTCTAAACAGCTTCCATTTCTTACCTTTCATGCAAATTCATTCTTTTGGGAAAGTAATTTTTATTTTATTTTATTTTTTTCATGTAGGATTGATATTGCCTCTTCTTGCAATTTCACCACATTCACTCTGTTTTATCCATTCTTTCTTTTTCTTTCATGTCCCTTTTCCCCCTAGATTCATTCACATATATATATATATAAATAAATTCCACATTCAGACGCTTTCATTATTCTTGTATTCTTGACTAACTGAATTGTTCGTCATAAATAATGAATACATTTAAGATTTATTTCATAGAACCTTAGATCCATGGAGCTGGAAGGGACTGTTGTTGTTCAGTCAATAGGTCATGCCTGACTCTTTGGGACCCCATGGACACCTGTCCTCCGCTGTCTCCCTGAGTTTGCCCAAATTCATCACACTATCTGTTATGTCCCGAGCCTTGCAAAGCTGCCCGGGACCAGACAGGCTGTCGCCAGCGCCGTGCGCATGCGCGGGTGCTGGTGCGGGAAAAGTATCGCATTTACCCGGGAAATGTCTATATAAGAAGTTGGGAGGTTTTGGGAGCTGCTGAAGCCATCTACTTGTAAGCTGAACGCAGAATAAAGAAAACTGAGAACTTCAACTGCTTCTCGTGTCTGCTTCCAGCCACGGACTCAACACTGGCGACGAAGGTGGGATTGCCTTACACCGCCTGGAAAGGAAGAAGTGTAAGCTTACCCAAGTGAGTCCTGAGCGGCGGAACGGCGTCGACTCGGCAGCTACCCGCCAATCCAGTGCGCATTCAGGGGTAGGCTGGCTGATAGACCCGTCTCCTGAAGATGGCAAAAATCGGAAGGCTTTCGGAATTCGACGTCTCACATCCAGAGCGGTGGGAGTTATACGTAGCCAGGGTGGAGAACTACTTCAAGGCAAACCAAGTGAGGGAAGAGAGCTTGAAGGCTGCCACCCTGCTTTGTGTTTGCGGCCAAGACGCCTTCGACATCGCAGAAAACCTTGCAGCACCTGTTCCAGTAGAGTCTGTAAGCTACGCAGATCTGAAGAAGCTAATGAAGGAGCACTTCCACCCCAAGATGTCCATCATCGCATGGCGCCACACCTTCGAGCAGAGGGATCAACAGCCCGGTGAGTCGGCCAAAGAATTCATCGCCGCATTACGGAAGGCCACCAAGCACTGCGAGTTCAAAGACCTCGAAGAACGACTGAGGGACCGATTCGTGTGCGGGTTAAGGCATCGAGATCTACAACAGAGACTTTTCGCTAAAGAAGAATTGTCCTACCAAGCTGCCTTAAGGGAAGTCACCGCAGAAGAAGCAGCAGGCGGCGCTGTCAAGAACATGCGGCCGATCAGAAACAGTCCAGAGGTTGCATCCGTGCACCAGGAAGACGTCCAAAGAAACTCCAAGGAGGATCCGGACGAGGAAGTTGACCGTCTCCACCCCACGAAGGAAGAAAATCAGAAGGGAAGCTCTTCAGCTCCGCTCAAGTGCATCGGCTGTGGAGGTCGCCACAGGAGAACCGACTGCAAGTTCCGCTCCGCTACCTGCCGGGCATGCGGCAAACAAGGACACATTGCAGCTGTGTGTCTGGGCCGACGAAAGGTACAACCTCAGGAAGAACTGCGCCTGAAAGGTACCAGATTCCCCAGCCAGAATAGGGTAGGTTTTTGCGCTTCGCGAGAAGCATCCTTAGGACAGGCACACACAAGCCAATTAAGAAAAAGCTGTCACTCAAGGTGAAGCTACAAGGGGTTCCATTATCTATGGAACTAGACACAGGGTCTGCCTTTTCAATTATCTCCTTGCATACATTTAGGAAGATTTGTTCCGGTAGTGGAACTCAGACCAAGTTAAGGCCTTCTGACCTTGTGTTAACAGATTTTCAAAATTCAAGAGTGTGTGTTAAGGGGGAGGCCACCCTTAACGTGCAATACAAGAGTTTTGAAGGTCCACTAGACTTATTAGTAGTAGGGGGTGAACGAACGAGTCTCATAGGACTCGATTGGTTGAGGCCCTGGGGATACACGTCACAGGACTCAACAGTTTACAAACACTCGACCTACAGGAAGTCTGCAAAGAATTTGCAGATGTTTTCAGCCCCCAGCTGGGCACATTCAAAGGACCCCCTGTGTCGTTAAAGCTAGACCCCACGGTCACTCCCATTAGAATTAAAGCAAGAAGGGTCCCTTTTGCTTTAAAGAGTAAAATTGACATTGAGTTAGACAAACTGATTCAACAGGGAATCCTAGAACCTGTTGATTCCAGTCCTTGGGAGACCCCCATTGTCATGCCTCTAAAGGCAAATGGGGACATTCGCATTTGTGCTGACTACAAATGCACTCTGAATAAGGCATTGCAGCAATATGCCTATCCTGTTCCTGTGGTCAGTCATATTCTGGCCTCCCTCAAGGGGGGGCGCGTTTTTGCAAAGCTTGACCTAGCTCAAGAGTATCAACAGCTGCCTGTTGATGATGATGCTGCTATAGCTCAGACTATTGTGACCCACAGGGGAGCCTTTAAGGTAAAAAGGCTGCAGTTTGGAGTGAATGTCGCTCCTGGGATTTTCCAAAGCGTAATGGAAAACACACTGCGGGGCATACCGGGGGTTTGCCCCTACTTTGATGATGTCTTAATTGCAGGAGACTTCACACACATTCTAGCTGAAAGGCTAAGAGCTGTTCTGTTAAGATTCAGGAAATCAGGCCTCAAGCTCAAAAAAGACAAATGCATGATTGGGGTGCCTTCTACTGAATTTCTGGGGGTCAAAATTGATGCTGCTGGGATTCACCCTGCTGAATCCAAACTGACTGCTATTTTAGAAGCACCTAGGCCAAAGTCCAAGGCCGAACTTCAGGCCTTCTTAGGCCTCCTGAATTTCTACAATTCTTTTCTTCCACAAAAAGCTAGTGTAGCTGAGCCTCTTCACAGGCTACTAGACAAGCAAGCAGTGTGGCAGTGGTCACAAACGCATGAGGGTTGTTTTAACAAAATCAAGGCTTTGCTCACTTCTAACAGTGTACTTGCACATTTCAACGAGTCTCTTCCTGTGTGCATCGCTTGTGATGTGTCCCCTTACGGGGTTGGAGCTGTCCTGAGCCACCTCAGGTCTGATGGAACTCAGGTTCCTGTTGCATATTACTCCAGAACATTGTCTTCTGCTGAGCGCAACTACGATCAGATAGACAGGGAGGCTCTGGCTGTTGTTGCTGGAATTAAAAAATTCCATGACTTTCTATATGGCAGGCACTTCACGGTCTTCACTGACCATAAGCCTCTGCTGGGACTGTTTACCACACGTAAACAGACTCCCCAAATCATTTCCCCTAGAATGCTTAGGTGATCTATTTTTTTGTCTGCATATGATTTTTCCTTACTCCACAAGCCTGGAAAAGAAATGGGCCATGCTGATGGCCTCAGTAGATTGCCTCTGCCAGTAGTAGAAGCTGACCCTGCGCCAGCTGTCAACATTCGATCAATCCAAGCCTTGCCCGAGCTCCCTCTTAGTGCCAGGGATGTTGCCGCTGAATCAGGTACAGATCACACACTTTCACGTGTCCGTTCCTGGGTTTTGTCTGGTTGGCCTGAGCACTGCCCTAGTCCTGAGTTTCAGAGGTTCTGGTCCAAAAGGAACGAGCTGTCCCTTTCTCAGGGTTGTCTGCTTTGGGGAAACAGAGTTGTCATTCCCACCTCAATGAGGACTAGGGTCTTAGAATCCCTCCACGAGGGGCATCCTGGCATTGTTCGTATGAAGGCCCTTGCGCGCAGCCACTTGTGGTGGCCTGGTTTAGATAAAGATATTGAGGCTAAGGTGCATGCATGCCACCTGTGCCAACGATCTTGCCCAGAGATGCCCCAAGCTCCCGTGCATAGATGGGAGGAAACACAGTCCCCATGGTCTAGGTGCACATTGACTACGCTGGACCCTTTCAGGGCCAGTTCTTCTTGGTCCTTGTTGACAGCCATTCGAAATGGCTTGAGGTTGTACCTGTCTCATCCACCACCACTGCGAAGACTATTCAGGTACTGAGGGGGATTTTTGCTGCACACGGGCTGCCAGATGTCATTGTGTCCGACAACGGCCCTCAATTCACTTCCTCCGAATTCCAAGCTTTCTTACAGGCAAACATGATTCATCATGCCACGTCTGCATCCTTCCACCCGTCCACCAACGGTATGGCTGAACGTATGGTGCGCATCACAAAGGACGCATTGAAAAGACTCACCTACGGGGACTGGCATCACAGGTTGGCTGACTTTCTCCTTTCTTATCGCACCACACCGTCCACTTCTACGGGGAGAAGCCCAGCTGAACTTCATTGGGGGCGTCAACTTACTACTAAACTTGACCGGTTGCATCTGGACAGACTGCCTTCATCTACCTCACATCCTAGGGCACCTAGACAACTACTTGTGGGTGCCCCGGTTTGGGCTCGCAGTTACGGGCCTGGTCATACATGGGTCCCTCCTTCTATTTCCAGGGTCACAGGTCCTCTCTCCTACGAGGTAGCCCTGGACATCGGTCATGTCCTGTGTCGGCACATCGACCAACTCCGCCCTCGGCGGGACTTTTCAGATGAGACTCCTGGGTCTTTTCCAGGGGGGAGGGGGACCCTTTGGAGCAAAGGGAAGGGCACGAGCTGCTGCCCATCTCCACTGATGGAGCTACAAACGGCCCATCCCAGGGTTCCGCGAGAGCTCCGAACAAGAATTCTATGAGCCTACCTAATTACCAGGCATCTACGCCTACTCCAGCCAGGGAGTCACCCCGGGGGCATACTCACTTTCCACACACATCACACAGCACTCCAGTCACGGAGGATACCCGGGGGTATCCCAACAAATCATTCCCCACAAGAGAGCTGGCACACAATTCCCAAGGTTGGCCTGACCTTACCCCAAATCCTACAGGGGGTCAAACATACAGGGAGGTGGTCGAGGAACCAAGTCCTGACTACAACACCTCTAGCCCAAATCAGGGAGTAACTGAGTTTTGGGAAAGTACAGAAACCCACACAAGCCCGGACACAGAACGGGGTTCAGGGAATGGACAGCCTCCTGACAGGTCTTGGATGGACCTAGGAGGTTCAACAGAGACGCCCAGCAGTGGCTATCACTTCAAGGGGCCCGAGGGTCTACAGCTAGGCAGGTCAACCAGGTCACAAAGTGACAGAAGCCTGGCCTGACGAGCCCGGTGGGCGAGCAAGCAGGCCAGGCAGCGGGGCACAGTCCTTGGAAGGCACCAAGGCAAAATAAGGAGAACAGGCTCACATCTCCTCCAGTCAGGGAACTCATGCTAGTAACCCAGAGCTGAGAAGGTCACAGAGAGCAAAGAAGTCTCCTAAATACTTAGAGGATTACATAACATTGCTGGCTAAACAAAAGCCAGGTAACGATAGGAGCACTGAGAAGCAGAACACTGCATAAAATAAATGATTATATGTTGGTAGTAGTTTTAGCCCGGGGGAAAGGGGTGTTATGTCCCGAGCCTTGCAAACGGCTCGGGCGTTTGCAGGCAGTCCCGGGCAGGTGCAAAGCTGCCCGGGACCAGACAGGCTGTCGCCAGCGCCATGCGCATGCGCGGGTGCTGGCGCGGGAAAAGTATCGCATTTACCCGGGAAATGTCTATATAAGAAGTTGGGAGGTTTTGGGAGCTGCTGAAGCCATCTACTTGTAAGCTGAACGCAGAATAAAGAAAACTGAGAACTTCAACTGCTTCTCGTGTCTGTTTCCCGCCACGGACTCAACACTATCATTTAACAATGACACTATCTAACCATCTCATCCTCTGCAGTCCCCTTCACCTTTTGCCTTCAATCTTTCCCCACCTCAAGGTCTTTTCCAAGCAGTCCTCTCTTCTCATTTGGTGGCTGAAGTATTTGAGCTTCAGCTTCAGTATCTGTCCTTCCAAAGAGCAGTCAGGGTTCATTTCCTTTAGGATTGACTGATTCGATCTCCTTGCAGTTCAAGAGTCTTTTCCAACGTTATCTGTACAGGCCATTTAATACAAACTCCTACTCAGTGCAAGATCCACTAAAACATTTCTGACTATGATTTTTGTTTTTGTTTCAAAACAAAAGTTTCGCAAAGCAAAACTCACCCCTTCATGTGGCAGCTAGTTCCATGGCTAACAGCCAACAAAGTCAGGGAGCCCATTTTCACATCTTAATCATTATGGAATTAACTCATTTGTTCTGTTCCTCCCCCCCTTCTATCTAACAGCTCATCATATATTTGAAGACCACTGTGTTTCCCTTTATTAATTTGTTCTGCAGATTGAAGGATCAATACCCAACCTTTTAACTATTCCTCATGGGATTTTATTTCCAGATCTTTCATGGATTTGATCAGTTGAAGGTTTCACATAATGTTCTTTAAAAATATAGAGAAGGTCTAGACAAGATTATCAGTTACCATATTTAAAATTTGGGAAGGAATTGACAGGGGGATAAAAAGGCCAAATCCAATCTGTCTCTGCAACAAACCATCATAATGTTGAATTTGAGTCACCTTGAAGCAAGATGGGCAGCAAACCAATCTAATAAATAATAAAATACATAAAATAAAATAATAAAGATACGGAGAGTGGGAATTGCCTTAGTGACGCATTTCATCTTGTGGAGATGTGTTGTTCCCATCTTATAGAGGTGTGTTGTTGATGAAATGAAGGGCCTGGTAGAGTTGTGTTGCTCTGCCTCAACAAAGGCCTGAAGTGGTGCTGATCAGGACCAGCCCTCTTCTCCATTTAACCTTGATTTCAAAACATGAATTGAATCTGCTGTTGTGGAGCAAAATGAAATTTCCATTGCATTTCCCTAATTTTAAAAAGTCAGTGAAATATGGCTCTTCGATCCATATTTCTTTATGCTTTGTTATTAGAAATCCCTACAGCTGTTAGTCTTACACAGCATGAGGAAAGTTTTTTTATTCTTTGCCATAATTACTTTACAACAGAATAGATGCATGTTAATTCTTGAATTAGGTAAGACTAGCTGCCTTTGTTGACAGTCATCCTTGCCTAAGTCAGGTATCACCATATACAATTGTCTATTTTAAGTAACTGTATGTAGTATGAAAGGGGGGCCTTTCTATTTCAGGATTGTCATAAATGCCATGGCCGGGGCCGATACAAATGTAGTGGATGTCACGGAGGAGGCAGGGTGAGTATTGATGGTGCACTAACTTATCTTATGTTCTTTGATGCTAAAAAAAAGGGTATTACACATGCTTACTGTTCAACAGCATCGCTGAGCAACTTAATTCTATTTAAAACAGGAAAGTTGCACATGTTGCTATTAAAGCTCAGACTCCTGAGTTTGGTATGGAATTGATAAAAAACTTAATCTCTGAATTTGTAAAGTGATTTTTTGGGGGGGTCCCTCCAAATGGCATGAATCTCAAGTATGTCAAGGCAAAGTGGAAAGCATTTATTAAGGTAGGTCAGATCTTTAAATAAAATACAGAAACAAATGATACACCCATTCGGTATATGTGATATATCAGAAAGCAAGTGATCAAACACATTGATTACATGTGAGAATTGTCTATGGAGATTCTCAGTCATCCAGGTCATGGTTGTCCCAAAGGAACTTTTTCAAGAGGCAACTGGATTTTCTTGGTTTTTTTTTTCTTTGAAAACATTTCACTTCTCATCCAAAAAGCTTTTTGGGTGAGAAGTGAAACATCTTCAAAGAAAAACAAGAAAATCCAGTTGCCTCTTGAAAAAGCTCCTTTGGGACTACATGTGAGAATTGAACAATAGAAAACATTGAGTGTAGTTAACATTCTACAAGTGGCAAATACAAGCTGAGTTTGTATCTTTTAGTCTTGCAAGTGATTTGAAGACTTTTGGAATATATTTTCTATTGTTCAATTGCTGAAAAAGAAATTATCTTAGAAGAAAAACATGCTTTCCTAAAGTTAAAAAAGAGACTCAGATTGCCATACTAAAAAACAAACAAATTAAAATGCCAATTTTAGGCTAAAAGCCTAAAATTCCAGCTAAACCTTCTGTTTTCTGTGAACTCAAATTTATTTCATTTCTGTATACAGGGGATTGGACTAAAAGACCTCCAAGGTCCCTTCCAACTCTATTATTGTTATTGTTATTGTCAGTGCTTTTTTGTAAAAAAAAAAAAAAAAAAAAAGGTGCCAGAACTCACACACATCATACAACCTACCTTGCCTACCCTACAAGGTTCCATCCAAAAAAGGTGCCGGAACTCCGTTCTGGGCGTTTTATGACAAAAAAAACCCTGGTTATTGTTATTGTTGTTATCTGCCTGAAGACAATTACAGACTGAGCTAAAAGTACTTCAGCCCAAATCAAATAAAAACCATGCCTTTACTATTCTGTTATTGTGTGTCTGTCTCTCTCTCTCTGTGTGTTTAATCCTGATGTTGTCTTAGCTATTTTGTGTCCTCCATAGATGAGGTGTGTCACATGTAACGGAGCCAGGAAATCCAAAGCCAAACATTTAAAATATCAGAAACGATGTCAGATGTGCTCAGGTACAGGTCGCAAAAGGTAAGGACTTTGAGAAAGTGATAATGATGAAGATAATGATAATAACAATGGTGACTGCTCTCCTTTTATATATATGTTCATATACATGAATCCATTATACTATTCCCTTTCAGGGTTAACAATATTGTACAAAATGAATAAAAATAGAAAGAAATACTAAGTAAAATCAATTGAAGAGAGAGAAAAAAGGAAAAAGCAGACAAAATCTAGTTTAGACTATTATTCATTATATCCCTTCATGCCTTTCTATCCCTCTTAACTACCCTTGTTTCCAAAGCATATATTGCTTTTAGTTCTTTAAAATCCTCACTGTCCTCTTCTTGAGGATCTGATAATCTGACCATCCAACCTCAGCTTCCTTTGTCAATGTTTTCTTCTTGATCCACTTTTATGTTTACTGATAAAAGGGAATACTTGTACCACTGGATTAAAATGAGAAGTTCTTGGTGTTCTCTGAGCCTGATTGTTTTCTTGCCAGCATTTCTTGAAATATCTGCAAGAAAACAGCCAAACTCAGAGAGCACCAAGGACCTCTCATTAGTATATTTCTTTTGCAATTCAATTTTCATTTATCTTATCTACGGACAAATCTTCAGCTTCTGTCAGCAGAGGCCACTCACTGCTTTCTGAGCAGGAACAGATGATGTAGTTGTCCTTCCATTCTGAGCCTATTGTAAACACACCCCAGTTATGATTCAAAACTGCTGTTTTCCATCTCAAATCATATTAAATCCTTCAGAGTGGACGGTCACAGGCACTCTGTTCTGTTTTAACAGCAGTCCTTTCTCTGATTGGTTGCAGTGTCTCACATGTCACCTCTTCCCCTCTAGCAAGTTATCACTGATCTGTGAAGGAAGGAACAGTCCCTAAGAGGAAGTGCCCTAAACTGATGGATCAATGGCCACAGGAGCTAGCCAATGAAGACTGCCTTTCTGGATAGATGGGAAGGGCAATCTGATGATATACGTGAAGTGTTAATACCACTTTACAATGCCTTGGTAAGGCCATACTTGGAATACTGCAACCAGTTTTGATCACCATGATGTAAAAAAAGATGTTGAGACTCTAGAAAGAGTACAGAGAAGAGCAATAAAAATGATTAGGGGACTGGAGGCTAAAACATCTAAAGAACGGTTGCTGGGTTGGGTATGTCTAGATTAATGAAGGGAAGGACGAGGGGTGACATGATAGCAGTGTTCCAATATCTCAGGGGCTGCCACATAGAAGAGGAAGTCAACCTATTTTCCAAAGTGCCTGAGGGCAGGACAAAAAGCAATGGATGGAAACTAATCAAAGAGAGAAGCAACCTAGAACTAAGGAGAAATTTCCTGACAGTTAGAACAATTAACCAATGGAACAACCTGCCTCCAGAAGTTGTGAATGCTCCAACACTGGAAGTTTTTAAGAAGAGATTGTCTAATATGGTACAGGGTTTCCTGCCTGAGCAGTGAGTTGGACTAGAAGACCTCCAAGGTCCCTTCCAACTCTGTTATTCTAATTCTATTTTTTTTTGTCTGATTCTGAGTGACAGGATGAAGACCTCAATCTAGGCAATGGTCTGATAAGAAGGAGCTCTGTCTGTATGTGGGGCAAAACCATGGCAAGTGTTTCAGAAGGGACTCTCCTTACTTTTTGGAGACTAAAAAGAGAGGAGGGGAGATGTACTTGATTGATGACAGCCTTGCACTGTATTCCAGACAAGAAGCACCTCCAAATGAAGTACCGTAGTCTACTTCATCATTTTAACAGAATCCTGAAAGATTGACAATATTTCTCCTGTCCTTTCTTTTGAATACCAGAAAACTGAAAGTGGGGCAAACTTCTGAAATGCTTCCCATGCTTTCCTTCACCTGAGCTGCCTCTTATCTGATCCTTGTCTAGACTCAAAATCTTCCTTTATCTCCCAGGGTCATTCCCAAATCCATTACTGGCAAAAAGCAACAGACTGCTGGCCATGGTCTAAAGTGAGCACCAGTTCAGCCTCAATTCCAACCAAAAGCAATCTAGGCTGGAATATCTGAGTTTGGCTTAAGAAACACTGGATCCTTCTGAAATGATAGGCTGCAGTTCAGGGCTGCTTTATAACCTCTAAAATACACTTCTTTGATACAGCTCTGAGGGTTCAGTCACCCATTCATTCTTGATCCAATTATCCCTTCTTATATTACCAGACTCACTTTACTGCATTCCACGTATTTTTATGTTTCTTGTGATGTGCACAGCTTTCATTTCCACATAAGAAAGGAACACAGTCATCTGATTTTTTTTAAAAAAGGAAATTATTTCTGGCAATAGAGAAATGTGTGTCTTTATATCTGAAGTCATACTTTAAGGTAATATTGCTTCATTGCCCATTATCTCTTTCCTGGTATAGAAGATAAGCACATAAACATCATGCTTTTCTTTGTAACTGCTCTTCAAGGTTTTCTCATTACCTCAGTGCAGCAGCCATCAGGTAGCTGGGAGGGAAAGTAATATGACAGATTTAGAGCCATTAAAACACTGATGGAGATGTTTTCTTCCAGGCCAGACTGTGAAGGTGGATTATGGGTAACATAGATGGCTTTTCACTGGGATTAGAAAGAAATTGTTCTGAAAGTTTTGAAATGTTCATAAAACTTTCTTCCAACTTTCTATGTAGCAAGAAAGTTGCTCTAAACTTACGTTTTCAGAACACATACTCCAAAACAACAAGTTTGCATCAAAATAATGGCTGAAAGATTGTACACTGCCATCAAGTAGTTCAAACGAGATTAGATTTTCTCCTAAAAGTGCACTGAGAGAGGCACCACTATTGCTCATATGCTATCTAGGTTTTAGCCAGAAAGGTTCAATCTCGTATATTTCACAGGAAATCGGAGAATAGTAAACTCACAACAATGAGGCCAAAAAAAGTAAACTCTTGTCTCTTCCGCTGACACCAGAAGTATATTACCTTCGTCTCTGAGGAAAATTCAGAAATACTGAATAGGTTACAAATGTTTGTCATGTGTTTTGTGCAAGACTGAAGATATTAGGAACAGCTTGCTGTCAGAAGTTGTGGGTGCTTCATCACTGGAGATTTTTAAGTAGAGACTGGAGAGTCACTTGTCTGAAATGGTATAAGGAGCAGGGGGCTGGACTAGAAGACCTCGAAGATCTTTTCCAGCTCTATTCTGATTGATTGATAATGGTAGTATTAGTATTAATCATATTAATGATAGAAGCTTTCTTCAATGTCTTTTTCCTTGGAATGTACAATAATATATCCAAACAAAATAGGGAATCCAGTAGACCCATTCTCCCTACATTTTTTTTTTCTTCTTAGTGGTTTCTTGCAAGTGAAGGGTCTTCTTCTTTTCAGATCAACCCAGAATTGATACAGGGGTTGTGACTGGAATTAATCAACCAGCTTGTCAACCAAGCCTGACTTCATGGTCTGATTGAGGCTGAGTAGCCCAGAGTCACTCACTGGCCTTCATGCCTAAGGAGATATTAGAATTCATAATCTCTTGGTTTCTAGCCTGGTGCCTTTAACCACTACTCCCTACATTTATATTGGCAAATAAAAGAGAGGAAGAAGAGGATAAATGTACTCTGTAGAGCCTAGTAGACTTGCCCTGCATGATTATGTAGAGAAGATAATTCTTCTTATTATTGAGACAAATAAGAAGAAAATAGTAAGACAAGACATAGGAACACCAGTTCTCTGCAAAATGCTATTAGTTTTTTTCTTCTATTTTACCAGCTGATTTTCTAATAACAGTGCTGAGATTGAAATGAAATGCAAGGATTTTGAATTATTATTTTTTTCCAGTGCAAATAGTAGAACTCAATTGGAACTGGATATAACTTCTTAAATCATATGAGGAGAGATCAAGATATCATGTTCAACAAGAGAGAGAGCCAAATCTCAGCATGATATATAAAACTTTCTTTTCCTACTGATTTTAGGTTTCCCATTTTTCTACCAATATTTGTCTTCAACTGATAGCTATTTACTCAAGCTTATGTGCAGCTCACAAATCATTATGTTTTAGTTTTTCCAGCTGCTAAAATGTGTGGTTTTCCATGATCTTTAGGGAATGCAAAATACCTCTCTGTTCTTCTAAAGTGTTTCATAAGACTCCATTAAGCTTAAAATAACAAAGAACAAAAAAATCAAGGTAATAATTTGAAAATGGGGATCTTAGGGGACTAACAGTTTCTTAAAATGCTTTAATAAAGCAGTAGGTAATCATTGCTGATCTGTATCACACTAATGCTATATAAATTTACCAACAATAAACACATGCCATCTGCACATATTGTAGACAGGATAATACATTCCTTGAAAGGGTCACCTAATCTTCCACTGCTGAATCTGGAAGTGGCCATGATGTGCAGATACTCATACTAATTTCCTGTGCTACCATCTTTGTTTCCAAATGACCTCGGTATTACTGGCATAAATCACAGAGTTTAGTCAATTAGCTGTTGTGTCAGAGTTAATTAAGAAGCAAGCAAGGTTTTATTTCTTTAGCTCCTAAACTTTTATCTTAGTAGTCAGAAGGGTAATGTCACACAGTGGACCCATATCAACTATTCTACATTTAATTCTTCCTCTCCTTCATCATTTCTCAAAATTCCAGAGATAATAAAGTTTTAGAAACCATGATAGTGTCAGATTATACAAATATACTTAGAACAGCTTGGGTAACAAGATATATTGATAGGTTATGTAGATCAAATTATCTGCAAAGCATGACACTTCTTTCAAGCTAATTGAAAGAAGGGTGGTCCATATTTTTCCTCCTCCTCCTCCTCCTCCTCCTCCCTGATTATCTCTCTAAATATCAAAAAGGAGAATGACTTTTTCTGCCATTTTGTCTTCCTAGGCTAAATTAAATGCTTACTCCACTGACACAATTAGCAAACACTAGGAATTAGGCTTGAAAGATGCTACAAAATAAATAATACACAACTTGTCCTTATTCATATCAATATCAATTATTCCAATTAAGGATCTACTCTTACCACAGTCTGGTTGATTTGAAATAAAGTACTCCATGTCAAATCTCCTGCATCTTTAGGGTTTTTTTTCTAGTTTTCCTAGACATCTCTTAAATATTTTAATCAAACAGAATTTTACTTTCACTGGAATTTGCTAACAATGGAAGCTACATTTTTTTTAAGCATATGTGTATATGTATGCATGTATATAGAGATTTTTTTTAAAAAAAATGGTATTTTATATTTAGTTTTATATTTAGCATTTAAAATAAACTAAAAAATAAACAGATTCCATTTTTACATCTAAAAGGTGCAACACCTGTTCTGGAAGAGGTAACAAAATCTGTTCAACCTGCCAAGGGGTGAAAAAGTTGCTGCACTTCATCCAGTTGATAATAACTTGGTATGTGATCCTGTTCTCAGTGTTGTTATGGTTGATGTTAGTATGAAAAATCAACTGCTATAATTGCTAAAGCCTCTTCAAAGAGCTTTCAACCTATGTGATGAATGTTCAACAACTCTTAATTTCACATCCTTTCCCTGTCTGTCTTCATTTTTATCGTTACACATTAAATCTTCTTTTTCACTGTTCAGCTGTACTTGGTATTAGCCCTCTTTTCCAGTGCTCAGCCTGATATTTCATTGGCTGGTGAAATGGTGTTGATATATTCCTGTTGTTGATATATTTGGTGTGTCACAAAAGGATGGGATAAGGCAAATATTGATTTTGGGGGCGTCTTTTAAAAATATAACTTAGAATATATTCTATACTTTGGTAGCCATAGGACCAGTGGTTCACATATTTGAATCCCAAACACTGCATAGGACTATTCAGATACCTCTCTCTCTGAGGTTGGAGAGAGAGTTTTCTATATAATTATTTCTATTTATTAAATAATATATCACAAAAGCCATACATACTTACAATGGGATATTAATTTAAGATCTGTGTTTGGTACCTTAAGTTCTCTATCATCATCCTCAAAATCTATATACTACTAAAACTCTCGTTATGTTTATTTGTTCATGTTTGTATCATCAGTTTAGCCCAAATGGTGGGACTATACCACAACAACCTTTGAATCAAGGTACCTAAGATCCTCTCACTTAAAGACTGTGTAAAAATTCACTCCCATGGAACTGAAATTTCCACAATGTTCAGATCGGTTTTATTTGCAAAGTTGTGGCTGTTGCAGCACCACACAGTCATGTAATCGTGATTTCCGATGTTCCCTGCCAGTTTTCCACAAGCAAAATCAAAGAGGAAGCTTGCAGGAAATCAAAAGTTTCTTCCATCCCCACTTTGTTTTTGTTTGCCTGTGATCATTCTGATTTTCTGTTTAGAAAGTAAATATTGACAATATTGAAATTTGCTTGCTGCTACAATTATTTATTTATGATATAGAATGTTCTTAGAATTGGTCTTGATCACAGGGCTGTCCAGCACAGTCCAACATAGGGCTGTCCGGCATTGGAGTACAAAAAAAATATAGTATTTTTTTTTTAAGGTTCACTGTGGTCACATCAGACTGCATTAACTTTTTCTCAAAACATGACCGAACAGATCATAGACTTGCCTAGTAATACCTAAATTTGCTGTTCTATTCTCCTTTGCTCAAGCCCTGTTCTTCTACCCTCCTTTGTTCAATACAGATGGTGATGGTAATACTGTAAAGTCCTGGGCTCTGATTGCTAGAAATGAATGCAAAAACAGATACAACAGGCACCCTGTAACAGTGTTCCAGTTTTCTAATATAAACACCACAGTTCTCTATGTCGCTCTTTTTATTACAGCATTTACATGACATTATTATCTGATTTAATTGTGCTGAAGCTATGTAAGCATTTGCATGCTTCTGCAGACACACCCATTAAGCATGAATTAAGTTACAGTGTGGCTATATCAGTTTTACTAATGAAGATACTCTTCCAAAACCTTGTGTAAGTTAGCCCATTTGAGTCCAAAAATCTCCCAAAAATCTGACTGTGGGCAGAGTTTGCCTGCAATACTTAGGCTTAGCTGTAGGAAACCCTATGTTTTGAGACTTATTGAGAAACAAACCCTTTATCCCTTGACTAAAACGGCATGAGACAAATATTTAATTGTAATAAATGGCATGATTTCTGACAAGACAATCATTGCCTTTATTCAAAATGACATATCTCTTATACTTCCTTGTCAGTTCTTTAGCAGGATAATAACTATGATATTTTGTATTCAGAAGCATCTGGGTAGGATGGGTTTGTATTTCTAAAATTAAATGAGAATGTCAGAAAGAGATTATTTTTTTTTTCAAGTGAACCTTACACCTCTTTCCCTTCTTTTCTGGCTCACCCTAAATAGGTTTTAAGACAATCTCACCTTTCATTTGTAAATTCTGCATACTTTCCAACCACTCCTTCCATCTTATTTCAATGGGGGGGGGGGAAACCCGGTTGATCAGAAAACAAAATTATTTACACCAAGAACATTTACACAGAAAGGACCCTTTTTGGCAAAGAAGAACTTGGCCTTTGAATGACTCTTTCACTTTTAAATCCATGCTCATTTTTAGTTTCTCTGAATCTTGTTTTGAGTATGGGCTTTCATTATGAACTAGCTTATTTTAGCTGACCTTTCTTTTCATTGCTGTGCTACTCTCCTCTTAACTTGTCTTTCACAAACTAATTACTTTCCTCCAGTGGTGGGATTCAAATATGAGAACAAACGGTTCTCTGTGTGGATGCTACTTCCAGAAGTCCATTCTGGACCTGGGCAACAAAAAATTAGCTACCAATTCTGCCGAAGTGGTGCAAACCGGCTGAATCCCACCACTGCTTTCCTCTCTCTTCAGTTATCCTTTTAATGTGCAGCAGACTATTAATACATCCATCTTTTTAAACCAAACTGCAGTGTTGTGCCTTATCTCTATGTACATATGATTTTGCATCAGGGATTCCTAAACTTTTGCCATCACACTTTCTTTTGCTGTCTTCTTAAGGTACACCTCCCTTAAAAATCCAAACACAAACACAAATGAACAATGAAAACAATAAAATTAACATTTGGGAAAGGTAGATTTATTGTGACAATGTAACTACAAAGTTCTTCATCCTCCCCTAGTACACCTTACAGTTTGGGAAACCCCATATTAAATCTCCCTCCCCCTCCCCTCCCCCTCCCCCTCCCCTTGTCCTAGTCCTTCCCCTTCCCCTTGTCCTTCTCCTTGTCCTTCTCTAATCCTTTTTATCTTCCAGGAAAAACAATGTATATGAATTCATTTCTGAACATCAACTAAGCTTTCCAAGAAATCTACTCAGTAAAGCTATGGGGGAAAATTTACTTAAAGATGAAAATACTCTGGTAAGTATGATGATACTTCCTTAAGGCAAAGTTCCTGGTATCTGCCAATGATACCTCTAGATCCTTATTGTCTTTCTAATCATCATCACCATTACCATCACCACCATCACTACCAGTACCAGAAAAAAAGAAAAAAGAAAACTGGAAACTACATGATTTAATGTTATAATTCATTTATTACCTCATGTACCTTTATCTAACATTGATATATTAAATGTAATTGGGCTTTCAATGAGATTTCAACTATATACTTAGACTGGGTTCATATATTGGCCACTAATTACTAGGAAGTATTTCTAAACCTCTAGTTTTTGGAGCTATAATCCAGTCCAAAAGAAAGGAAACACCTCAGAGAAAATGACCCTACTTAAACTATTTGCTCCTGCTTTTTGTTACAAGTTTCGACTATCTTTATAAGTCTTAGATTAGTATTTAATATATTTGGTCTTGGTCTGTAGATGGTAGTAATGGCACTCTTATAGCTTGGCATCTCATAAACATTTGCAGAATATTTTTTATTTTGTTTAATTGATATGCCTGTTCTATTTGCCAATACTGCTAAAAAAACAGTGATGATATTATATATATTAAGACATAAGCACTAGAAACCAGATGCACTTACAATTTTGAACATTTGTGCCATAAGAGGAACAGATGATGACTCATAATTTTTCCTATTACAATTAACAATCCCAGAATTACAAAGTCAATACATCATGTCCTACAGTTTTATATTCATCATATGCATATTATTTATATTGAGATAATTCTCATTTTAACCAGTTGGAGTAGGGAGACTCACTTAAGCTCCTAATATTCTGCTTTTTATAGCTTTAGGGATTGAGCAATCTTCCTAGTAACAGTGATGGGTGAACTTGGAAAGATAAAGAAATTGTAATAATAGCATCTTTTTTCTGATCTCATCAGGCTTGACAATGTGTTATGCACAATGCCTGAAGTAATGCCATTACTTCAACTCATGTACCTGGTGTGCTAATAAAAACAATGGATGGGTAGACATGATCAGAAAGGATAGAAAGGAAAATTTAAAAATAACCCAGCAACCTACAATAGAATGTATAGTTTTTGAAGTTCTTTTTATGCTTCAGGTATATCCACTTGTTGATTTCCCTAATGCTGAGATCTCACTGGCTTCCCAAAGAGCTATTGCAGAGCATCATGGCCAGCTCACCAGTATATCCCGCATCCTATGGCAGGTATATCAAAGTAGGCCTTTTAAAACTTGAATTCTACCCAAACTTTGAACTTACTACATATGAGAAATTTGGAATCACAATACTTGGTTATTTCAACAAGCAAAAATAACTATTTGTGATACTGCACCATATTTGTTTATCACTGAATCTGTATTTTGTAAAGAAAGAAATGCACAATTCCTAAGCATTGGCTATTGCAGGAGCTAAGGACCGTGCAAACTGGGAGATCTTAACGTTTGTTTGTTTTACTTATAAGCAGCTAATTTAAGAAGTGATGTTGACAGATGGGGAACATAACCTTCTTTATCTGCATACTTTTCCAAGAGAAGCATTTCCCCAGTCTGGTTTCTGTGGAAGATTATAAATATTTTCACCATTTTAATCTGGAGGAAATATACCGTATTTTTCCGTCTAAAAGATGCATCCTTGTATAAAACGCTCTGGCATGCAAGTTTCTCTGTGCCGATCAGCTGTTTGGTGGAGCGCTGAACAGCTGAGCCAGCAAATCTGGAAGTTCAGCCGGCCGACGATGTTGCCCCGTCCCCCCTCCTGTTAGTGGTAAGCCCACAGGGGCTTGACACCTGCTCCAGGCGGCATGGCAACCCACAGAGGTATGCCCTGGGCTGCAGAGGTTACCATTATTTTTTCATGTATAAGACGCTGTACTTGTATAAGACGTACCTGATTTTTGAACAGGGTGTTTGCAGGAAAAAATAGCGTTTTATACACAGAAAAATACAGTAGGTGGTTTATATGTGTCAAAAGCATAGTAAAAATAATACCAATAAACAATAATTAATTGTAAGAATGGCTCAAATGAAATATACTTGGAAACCATTAGTGCAATAATCAAATGCAGTAATAGCTAAAATGAAAGATACTTAACATTAACTCACTTAAAAACCCTTTACACAATGATTGGATCTGGAAACATGCTGAATTTTGGCACACACATCTCACTAAAACAGGTGATTTTAATGGTGACTTCCTGAATAAGCCACAATTGGATTGTTTATGCAACACATTAAGCCTTTTCCCTTGAAAAGGCACCTTCAGGTTTTGCAAAAGGTACAGTAAGGAGGCATAGCAGTTTTGAGGACCAGAGCGATCCTTAGAAATAAAGATAAGGTTGGAAGATGGGCATTAATCTTCCATAAATCATTTGGAATAGGTTATATTTTCTTCATAGATTACATTAGATTAGATTAGACTGATACAAAATTAGGTGGAGCTGGAAATTTAGCAGGAGAAACCAGTTTAGAATTGTATGTGTTGCAGTGTTTCCTTTCTGCCACCAGGTGGCAGAATAGCTACATGATCAGATAGCTCTTTCTCCCTCATAAGGGATTCACTCTCCATTTTGCTCATAAAACCCTTCTTGTCAAACATTTTAATTAAACACTTATTTAAAAATATACATTTTTTATTTTAAAATGTCTTTCTCACACACAACTGCATAGAATATGGTCATCATCCATATTACGTTAGTGTATAAAAGTTGCTCAGTAATTTGAGCACACTTGGAATACTGCATCTAGTTTTGGTCACCACAATGTAAAAAAGATGTTGAGACTCTAGAAAGAGTACAGAGAAAAGCAACAAAGATGATCAGGGGACTGGAGGCTAAAACATATAAGGAACGGTTGCTGGAATTGGGTATGTCTAGTTTAATGAAGAGAAGGACGAGGGGTGATATGACAGGAGTGTTCCAATATCTCAGGGACTGCCACAAAGAAGAGGGAGTCAAGCTATTCTCCAAAGGACCTGAAGGCAGAACAAGGAACAATGGATGGAATCAAGGAGAGATGCAACCTAGAACTAAGGAGAAATTTCCTGATAGTTAGAACAATTAATCAGTGGAACAACCTGCCTCCAGAAGCTGTAAATGCTCCAACACTGGAAGTTTTTAAGAAGAGATTGGACAGCCATTTGTCTGAAATTGTATAGAGTTTCCTGCCTGAGCAGGGGGTTGGACTAGAAGACCTCCAAGGTCCCTTCCAACTCTGTTATACTGTTAATTTGATGTACTTTAACTAAGATGTATATTAAGAACTCAGGAAAGTGAACAAAATGAATCCAGGAATCTGAACACGAACACTACATCTTCTGCTACGTGAAGAGATAACTCATCAACCTAGCAGAAGATTCAGAATTAGTTTGGAATAAAATCAGAAATGTGGTGAATATATATATCAAACTAGATGGAGTTATTATTACGCTATTTTAGAAATCTAATAATTAGTCACATATTACACTTCAAGAATTTTATTTTTTCTGGCACAGAGAGGCTATGTAGTTGATTTTATTTTGTGATAGGATTTGCATATTTTTGTAATTATTTAGTTACTATTGTCTCTAAATCTCTTCTTCTGAGCCTAATGTAGTGTGCACACAAGTGTCTTCGTTTTATACCCACAACAGCAACAGAGGCAATTGGACTGAATGAGAGCGATTTGTACTGCATCCCCTTGTGAGCTCTGTGTTATCCTAATTACCCTGCCTGCTATTTTTAATTTCTCTATTGTATTCTCCCTTTTAAAATATATATTTTATTCAAAGTTTTTTCTTAACGTACAGTACAAAGAGAAATAAAAACAATGGAAAAAGGGGAAGGAAAGAGGATAGAGGAGATAAAATGAAAGGAAACAGAAAATGAAATTTAAAAAAGAAACAAAAAGCAGTAACTTCCAATTTTTTTTTTGGTATAGTAAGATACATAATAAAATTATGGTATCAACTTTTTAGTTATACCGAATAGTAACTATTAGCTATTTATATACGGTATCAATTTCTTAGATATACCAAATAATAACTGTTAGCCATTTATATAGCAGTAATCCATTTAGTTGGCAAAATCGAAAGTTTCTTTTCTCTCTCTCTCTTTCATGCAAAAGGCCCAGAAGCAGCTTCCAAGTACCGGTAGTCCTTCACTTATAACCATTTGTTTAGTGACTAACTGAAGTAAAAAAAATGACCATTTTTCACACTTATGACCTTTGCAGCATCACCATGATCACGTAAATCAAATGCTTGGGAACTGGCATGTGTTTATGATGGTTGCAGTGTTCTGCTGTCATGTCACCTTTTATGACCTTCTGACAAGCAAAGATTTTTAATTACATGTGGTGGACATCTCAAAAAGATGTTGAAACTCTAGAAAGAGTACAGAGAAGAGCAACAAAGATAATCAGGGGACTGGAGGCTATATAAGGAACCGTTGCTGGAATTGGGTATGTCTAGTTTAATGAAGAGAAGGACGAGGGGGGACATGATAGCAGTGTTCCAGTATCTCAGGGCTGCCACAAAGAAGAGGGAGTCAAGTTATTTTCCAAAGCACTGAAGGCAGGGCAAGAAGGATGGAAACTAACCAAAGAGAGAAGCAGCCTAGAGCTACGGAGAAACTTCCTGACAGTTAGAACAATTAACCAGTGGAACAACCTGCCTCCAGAGGCTGTGAATGCTCCAACACTGGAAGTTTTTAAGAAGAGACTGGACAGCCATTTGTCTGAAATGGTGTAGGGTTTCCTTCCTGTGCAGGGGGTTGGACTAGATGATGTTCAAGGTCCCTTCCAACTTTATTATTATTATTATTATTATTATTATCATCATCATCATCATCATCATCATCATCATCATCATCATCAATGGGAAAACCAGATTTACTGAACAACCATGTTCCTAACTTAATGACGGCAGTAATTCATTTAACAATGAAGGCAAGATCAGGTGTAAAATGGGGCAAAACTCAACTGTCCCAAAGGTATTTTTTCAAGAAGCAACTGGACTTTCTTGTTTTTCTTTGGAGATGTTTCATTTCTCATCCAAGAAGAGAGTCCAGCTGCCTCTTGAAAAAGCACATTTGGGACAACCATGACCTAAATGACTGAGAATCTCCATAGACATTCACATAACAACTGTCTTGCTTAGCACTGGAAATTTGGGGATTAATTGTAATTATAAGTTGAGGACTACCTGTAACCCCAAAATTATTTGCATTCTTGTCCCTAATTAATGCAGCCAGCTTTGCCATATCTGCCAGTTCCATCAACTTTTCAAACCATTCCTCCATTATGGGAGTTAATGCTTCTTTCCATGTCCAGCCATATAGAATTCTTACAGCTATATATAGCAATGAAGTTCATTTTTTTTCCTCCCATTTTTTATCTACTTGTCCTAGAAGAAAACTGTTCCCAATATTTCTTTGCCTTGTGACATGTCCACCACACGTAATTAAAAATTGCCATCCTTATGTTTGTATTGCAACAAACATTCAAAACACCTTTATACATCTTTGATAATTTATCTGGAGTTAAATATGACCAGTATATCATTTTATAGAAATTCGCCTTAAACTTATATTTCAATGTGAATTTCATCCTTTAGTCCACATATTTTTCCATTGCTCTAACATTATATTAAAACCAAAGTTCTATATGTTCTCTATTATATTCTCATGTCTCAGCAGGTGATGACACCTGGTTGACCTTATTCAGATTCAGAAGGACTGGGAGGTTGAAAAATGTACATTACATATGTATCACCAGGGAATGTACAAATGAGTGACTGACAGGAAAGAAGGATGTTAAGGTGTTTGGCCATAGGGAGAAAATGAGTGAAGATCAAATTGCAAAACAAATATATGAAGGAAGAGTGAATAGTAAGAGGAAAAGGGAGACTGTGGCGATCATAGTTGGGAAGAGATTCTTAAAAAGGCTCCTATAAAAAGAGAACCACATATGTACATGGTGGGAGTGAGGATGGGTTGCAAGGATAGACGGTTATGGAAAAATATAACAAATTGATTTATTTTCTTTATCCCATGTCTTTAAATTAGCAATAGCATTTAGGCTTACAGTGTAGCCCTCTCTGAGCAGTTTACAATGTAAGCATTATTTGCCTATTGCCCCCACCAATCTGGTTCGTTTTATGACCTCAGAAGGATGGAAGGGTGAGTCAACCTTGAATCCTATCAGGATTGAACTCCTGCCTGTGGGCACAGTTTCCCTGCAATACTGCAGTTTAACCATTGCACTACCAGGGCTCCTTCTCTAGTGTACCAATTTCTCTGATTTACCCTCCCCCCCGTGCTGGCCATGAACTTGCTTCATATGTATTACAGAGGCAAACCACTTCTGAACAATTTCTTAAAAAAAATGCATGGATATGTCAATAACAGTACCAGAAATAAATCTGGAGCTGAAGAAGATTTTATTTTTATTTGTGTTGTAGTAGTTTAGACTTGAAAAAAAAGATGCTTTAATGTAACACAAATAGAAGTTATTTACTAGTGCAAACAAGGCCTAGTATATTTACACATTGCTTCTGTAATCCCTAGTCACAATCTGTGTGACTTTCTTGATTCTGTCTTTCACACAGGCCAGTCTTCACATTTACTCAGGAGGAGATATGAGTGATATCAAGATATTCGCTGCAATAATCAATTACTGTTAAATGTTTAGAAACCTACCAAAGCCTCTATGTGAATATAATGGTTAAAGGATGTGATGGGTAGGGAAGCCTTTTCTATTTATTGTCCTTTTCTCAAGAGGAGGAATGATGGAAGTACTAAAGATTAGAGAAGCTTTGAGGAACGGCAAAGAGGATAATCCTATGTGACTGGAAATAAAGTCACTCTCCTGCTTTTAAGGAATGGATTAGGCTATGAGTTCATTATCTAGTTTTGAAAAATCTTTGTGCTCTAAAAATGAGGAGTTGATACATTATGTTGTATGATCCAGATTACAGTCAATGACTGGATGAATTTATATTTATCATATGAGTGACATAATGGCTCAGCAGTTAAGACCCTGGGCTTGCCAGCTGGAAACCCCACCTGGGAGGCCTCCACCAGGCCTAGAACGGACTTCCAGAAGTGTCATCCATGCACTTCCGGTGGGCCATTCTAGGCCTCTGAGGCCTAGAACAGACTTCCAGAAGCAGTATGGGTTCAGCCGGTTCTCCAAACTCAACAAAATTTAGCTACCGGTTCTGCCAAACCAGTGCAAACCGGCTGAATCCCACCACTGAATTTAGAGCAACCTTGAAGCTGCAGCTAGCATATGGATAAGAGTTCTCTGTTCTGCTTCTGTAACTCTGGCATCATCAGGGTATAGTGCCAATAAAACCAGGAGGGTGGTTGTGGAAACACAACTGAAGTCCTTTGTACATGCGCATGACATTGATACATGTGTCAAAGTGGTGAGGCTTCCATGTACTAGTGCCACTTTTTGTCTTTTTTGAACACTTCTGTTGGTGCCAGTGCAAATAAGATGTATTTGAGGGAAAATCTGAATTTCAAAAACCACACTCCTGTCACTCTTATTTGGGAAGAAACCTCTGTAAAACTCTGTAATCTTACTTCAGGATACATAGCCAAAGGATTTTGGTTTATCCTTAAAGCAGGGCTCTCCAAACCTGGCAACTTTAAGACTGTGAGATAGGACAAAAGGCAAACAAAAGCAGAGAGAGGAGACATGAACAACAGGCACGAGTTTGCATTGTATATAAAACTACTGTATCTCTGTTGAAAGGCATAGACCAGGGGTCTTCAAACGTGGTCCTTTTATGACTTGTGGACTTCAACTTCCAGAATTGCCCACCCAGCACAACTAGCTGAGGAAATCTGGAAGTTGAAGTCCACAATTCCTAAAATCACCAAGTTTGAAGACCACTGTTTTAAAGGACTCCCACAGCTTTGAAATGCTTTTTGTGTTGCTAAAATTGCCAGGACTCAGGCCAGAAGTCTGCTATGGATGTCACTAGCTAGCACTGGTGGTATGAGCAGAATATCTCTGGAATTATGGCATACTGAATCATTTTTATTCGTTCACTTTGCTTTCGCTGAGCTTGTTTTTCACTTAATGGAAAGGGTTTGCTCATGCCAAGGAAAGGATAAATAAAAGCAAGCAGCTTTAAAAGTGTCTCTGACACCAGCCTTTTCAAGTGTGAAGTACTCTTCCTCTTAAGAAATGTATTTTTTCTGTCTGTTGGGAATGTATATAAAGATGAAAAAAACCCAAAATAAAATGTTTTCTAAGCAGAAAATTGAACCAAAGGGAATACGTACTCTCAATTTTCCAATTTCTCTCAACCCTTGCCACTCTCTCTTGTAAACATCACTTGCCTTTTATTTTTTCCTCAACATGAAGTCAGGGTGCAAATAGTTTTAATAAAATTTCTGCTTCTAATACAGGAAAGTTTAGAATGAGTATTGGAGGAATATTAGTGCTGCCTATAAGGATGGGAAAGTGGATAGATCCTGGAACTACGGGCACATTACTGCCCTCTCCCCACCAGAGATGGACTAGAAGACCATGGAAGCTGGACCGAGAGGTTGGAACTGGAGGAATAGTAGAAAAATGACCAGGACACAATAGTAAAACTGCTTGGGAGAGCCAAGACTTGTGTCCAGGTCTGTTTCTGGCTTGTTGCTCCTGCTCCTATAAGAGAGGCTGACTTTAAGGCCCTACATGGCTTGGGTCCAGGATATGTGAGGATCTGTCTTTCCCCAATGGGACACACTCATCCCACTCAAGTCAGCGGAACAGTCCTGCTATTGATCCCATCTGCTAAGGAATTGAAGCAGGTGGGGTCAGGGAGAAGAGCCTTTTCTGCTGTGGCCCCATCCCTGTGAAACATTCTACTGTCAGAGGTGAGAATTTTCCCCACCCTTTAACACACAGAAGAATGTTAAAAGCTGGTTTGTGGGTTGCCTGACGCCCTGAGGAGAGTGCTCACCATTGGAGGTGGCTGATAGGGTAAGAAGACCTCATCCAGTCCTGCCCATCTCTTAGTTCTCTTAGTTTCAGTACTTTTTTAAACCATACTTTAATCTGTGCAGTTGTAATGGTTTAATATTGTAATGTTTTTACTTATTTTATAACTTGTAATTCACCCAGGGTCACCTTGTAGGGTAGATGGGCAGTATAAAAGTTCAATAAATTCATAAATAAAATAAATAAATCTCTCATAGGTTCTGAGATAGTGGGAAATAAATATTTATTTGGTAGGTTGAAGCTATGTGAAAGCTAGGGTTGAATTTGTCTGAGTTGTGGAATGATAAAGATGTCAGTAGCTTGGGAGAGAGCTAAATTTTTGCATCTTCCAGAACTTCTGACATTTAAGGGTGGCACTAGGAGAATCAGGCAGCTGTAATGGTTAGGCACCTAAACAATGGCAGTAAATTTTTCAACTATTGATCTACATTTATTCTTCTTGCTTCTTTTATCTCTGTGAATAAGATGATTATCTAGTAAAGACGCAACTTCATTGCAAAACATATGCCTTCTGTAAGGCATGTTTCTTTCATGCACAAGAATTACATCATATGGTAGAAAAATGCAAATCCTCCTGCTGAACTTATAAAAATATATTTTATATTAACACAGATTAAATATGTAATGTAGATAACATTGCCCATCACATATAGCCTCCAACCCAATAAAACAATGTTTTTGGGAGGATAAACATTCTGATTGTATTAGTGGTTTATTTGCTGTGAGACTCAACCAATTTTCTATGTAAGTCACACAATCAGCACTCTTATATGGTATTTTAGATTGTGGAAGGGATGTCAAATTCATCATGTTTATATATAGCAGTGCTTCTCAATTATTTTCTGTCATGCCCCCCTAGGAAGAAGAAAACATTTCGCGCCCCCCGCGTGACTGTAAAATTTTTTTTTTCTGTACAGAGGACCGATTTCCGGGTCTAAAAGTCACACGGGCGGGTTTGGCCAATCAGGATAGAGCATCATGTCTATCCAATCGGGTCCTTTGCATGTGTCACGTGCGTTGGCGGTCATGTTGTCCTCCGCGTCGGGCTGCCGCTTGCGAGTGAGTCGGATGATCCGATCTAGAAATCCAATATGACAGTATTTGCCGAGGTCAAACGAGCCCCCCTTTACGGAGCCTCGCGCCCCCCCGGGGGGCGCGCCCCACTATTTGAGAAGCACTGATATATAGGAATACATTCAATAATAATCTCAGTTTAAAGGAACAGTTATTAAATATTTTCTAGTTCTGACCTGTGCTTCAATAACCCAGGAAACTAAAATATATGATATGAATTTTATAAATTTTGTTGAATCTTTTATATAATGGCTTTAGAAGTCAGAGTCCACAAATCCACATTTGGTCTTCTTTTTATCTGGCAAACGGCACATTTAGTAGACATAGGTATAGTTTGCCAAATCCCTTAATAGAAAGACCCTCATACATTTATTGTATGCATACAAGCTACAGTGCTTCCCTCCAAATTATACCCAGTATATTAAATGTAAAGGTAATAATTTCATAGTCCATAATCCACTTATTTCTTACAATATATTTTCTATATATATATGTGTGTGTGTGTGTGTGTGTGTGTGTGTGTGTGTGTGTGTAAAATAATAGAAAGAGAGAGAAAACTCAAAACACATTAGCATTATCTATTTTATTTCTGGGTTCTATTGTGGCACACAGCAGATTTCATTGTTTTTATTCTACATTAAGCTAAAAGGTAAACATGCCCACAACTCTAGAGTCCACATTAGTGTGTCAGAAAGCTGAACTAAAATAATATTCATGAGATGCTAACTGGGCATGCCCAAAGTATGCATATATTTTAATAAAACAAGAGATAGAAGTTCCAGTAGCTAGCAGAATGCAGACCTCAGCATGAGAACTCTATTATATCTGATGACAATGATATTTTCTTTTCTCTTCTCAGCGACAAACCATAGAGCTGATTCCTGTGACTGAAGTCCATTATCGATATGCTGCAAAATCATATATTTATTATATCTATGGAACAGAGAACAAAGTTTATGCCCTGGACTATCCAGAAAGATACTGTTGTGGCTGCACAATAATCTGACAGTGAAATGCTGTGCAAGTATTCGTTATATAAAACAAGTTATTTTTATGTCTAAATGATATAGAGTGGGATGATACAGATTCACTCCTTACTGCTGTGATACGCGGAATAATATTTGTATCCTTCTCCTCCAGATTAGGAAGATAAAGGCATGGTAATAGAATCTCCTAAATCCTATTTCTACTTTTGTTTAAACAACATATATCTAAATATGTATCTTTAAATATATGTGTCTAATATATTTTCTGGGGGGGGGGAAGCATCTTGGGGCACAAACTATGTATCTATTCTCTAAGTCTACAGTATTCTAGAGTAATCACTATTAAATCTATAGGAGTGCAGCCTTAAGCAGATGCATGAGATGATGGAAACAGGAATAATTTTAGAAACCTCTAGAAAAGCAAGATATTATATATGGGTTGATGTCATTTTCTTTAAAATTTGGATTGTTTTGCATTTGATTTTGGTTAAGTGAGAGGCAAGGAAGTTCAGTTCCTCCCCTTTATGTCAACTCTACAATGAACCTGGCTGCAGCCATTTTGCTCATTTTAGGTTGCCACAGGAATGGGAGGGGGTGTGGAGGATTTCCACTAGTCTAAACATTTTACTGTCCTGTGGGAATCAAGGTAATTTCTGTCAGTTAGATGGGGGCATGAGTATTTGATTAGAACACCCGCCAAACTATTCTGTTGGGGAACATAGCTGATTGCATAGGTTGGGGTGGGAAGTTCAACTTTGTAATATTATCTCTCTTTGAAGGGAATTTCAGACTTGGTTTCACTTTTGACTGTGCTGATACTATGTAACCAATAAACATTTTCTTTGAGGAAGTTTCAGGCCTCGGAGTTCTGATTTGTTTGGTCTTGTTTATCGGAAACTTGACACTTTAGTTCAGGGCTTTTCAACCAGTGGTACGGGTATCACCTGTGGTACATTGGCACCTGGCAGGTGGTACACGACCATCCTAGAAAAATGGTAGTAGGGGAGGGGAATGAGCTGAACCGGTGGCAGCACCGCGCAAGCCTAAGCAAGAGATGGCTGGAGCTGCAGGGCTGTCATATAAACTTCAAACTGGCAGGCAGAGTAGACAGGTGGGTGAGGGCTACATAGTGTATCTTACAGCCAATGTATTTTCCAGAGATATTGGTTTAAGACATTGATCGTTAAGTCCTGAACATATTCATAAATTTGCTTATCTATAATGTTTCCTTAGAGCAAACATGACTAATATGAGACATAATATCCCCATCCCACCCCCCACCCCCCAAAAAAATCCTGGTATGATTCCCAATCCCAAATATGTCAGAGTCCCATATTCACAAAGTAATTATTTTCACATATCAAAAAAATTATTACAGAATCGCTAGGTCATATTTACAAGTGAATGAATCTGCAGTATCCTATCTTGCTTATTTGTGATTTCAGGCTAATGATAGAAAGGAGATGAATGAATGAATGCTAGGGGTTTACTGCATTTTATGTAAACCAATAAAAAGCTCAATTTGAGAATGCTGATCCAGTGCACAGGACCAAGAGGGAATATTCACAGGCTTGAGGGATCTCATTAAACTAAAATAATTAAGAGCCTGGGGCCTCAGCGGAGCTTCAAAAAACAGGAAGAGAAAGACTGCAATGGATAAAAAGGCAGAAGGATGCTCTATTATAAGTCCCACTAGTTTCCTTTACAGCTTCTAAGTGAGCCATTGTTGATTTTCCTTATACCATAGTCCCTGTTAATGCAGGATTCATGGCATTAACAATCGTTTCAGGAAAAGCCTATAAACATAGTCCCACTTTAATGATTTTCCACTAGAGGGAAGCAACAACATAAAAATCAGACTTTATTATTCATGAACAAGTATATACTTGTAAGACATTTTGCAAATCCACTTGGGATGAATGTGTTTGCGTCTGTGCCTGCATATTCAACTTGCATTTACATGTCAAGCGACTGTGCATATAAGTGTTCATATCATTCTTTCTCACACTTTTATAGGAATATATACTGGATGCTATGATGTAATCCACAGCAGGCAGGGAAAACATCCAAAATTCAGGCAATAGCAGCAAGCACATTGCAGATACATGTACTGACCACTGGTTTGCAGTATAAATAGTGCAATGTTTTGTGTAGTTTACTCAAAAGTAAATTCCACTGAATAAACTTTGCCCGAAAGTTGGCACACAGAACTGTAATCATAATTATTATTCAGTTTAAATACTGTACATTTGATTTTAGTGTTTTGTTTTGTTTTTGCTGTGCCTGCTGCGATAGCTTCATACAACTGCCAGCCTAGGATAACAAAATATAATTCTTATGTTGGGACACCATATGATTATATGTCTAAACAAAAAATTATATTCAAGCTTTGACTCATCCAGTATACTAACAAAGGCTGGCACTCATAGCATGTAAGCTATTAATTACCAACTTCATTTTAGCCTAGTTGGTTGTTTATAATTTATCATTTAAATCTTCATAGTCACCCATTGGTATAGGACTCTGGGCAGCTAATATGGGATAAAAACAATATACAGTGTAACAGTTAAAATGGAATTCCTACAGTGATACAATTCCACCTAGTAGAACTTTGCTGGTTGATTCCTGTAATACCCCAGCCTAATTTCTGTGAAAAGTACAATGTTTCCTTGAAGGCAAGTAGCATTGAGGCTGTGAATCTCTGGATGAGTTGTTTCAGAAGGCTGTGTGAACCTAGTCCTAGAATCTGATGTGTAAACTTTAGTCAGGAGTTCCTAACCCACAGTAATATTCTTACTCATGTCACTAAGGACACACACACATAAACACATGCACAGAATTTATTTTAGAAGATGGCGATAAATCATAATGCATTTCCAGAAGTTCATAAGCTATCTGGAATTTAAAGATATGCATGCTGATTTCTGGACAGAACATCAGTATGTAATTATATAGCAATAGCACTTAGACTTATATACCACTTCATAGTGCTTTTACAGCCCTCTCTAAGCAGTTTAGACATATTGCCCCCAACAATCTAGGTCCTCATGTTACTGAAGGATGGAAAGCTGAGTCAACCTTGAGCCTGTGAGAATTGAACTGCTGGCAACCGGCAGAATTAGTCTACAATACTGCATTCCAACCACTGCACTACCATGACTCTTATAGATAGAATTATTATTTTGCAAGATCAATGCCTCCCCCCTCCTAGTAACTCTGAAGAGCATCTAGAGTGAGTCTCAGAAATAAGAGAGGATCTTCCAGATGACAACTTGTTGAATCACTGCTATCCGGGTTTATATATACAGGACCTGGTAACCTGAAAAGATCCAGGAATAATTGAGCTTCCATTCCCAAGAGCTCTACCTTTGGTGATATGGGATGGAGTAGCTGGGAGGAGCAACAGCTGAAAAGTCACAGGTTACCCATCTACTGCAAATTATATTATTTTCAGAAGATTGCTTCTCAGATGTGATATTCTTTGGAAGCTTATCCATTGCACAGTACTATTGTGAAATACCTTTAAAAACTTCTAAAATGTGATTTCAGGCAATAAAGATGATATATTCATTATTGTCACTGATCTCGTAGTGCATGGTGTCCTGCTGTCTGAAATGAAAGTGCATTTGCTGGCAAAAGACAAGAAACCAATAACTAATCTCTGGGTGGTTTTGACAGGATTAGAGAAAACAAATTTCCACTCTGCTCCTCTCTTCAAAAGTGCTTAGCAAAAAGTGCTAAGAACTTACCAACATTTTTTAAAATAACTTTCTTGAAAAGAGTAGATGATTTTCATTTTGTTAAATAATAATAAGCGGTCTTCCTTGAATTAATACATTAAAATGCAGAAAGTGGGAGAGGGTAAATACCTAATTCCTTTTCCTAATTCCTGGAACATTAAAAAATATAAAATATTTTCAAATTGCTCATATGCCTGCATAAACAAATAGCTATTGTAGTTTTCAAGGTGAAGAGTCAATAATAAGAATTTTGTCCCACCTGATTCCTGCGGTATAAATTAGCTGCATGTAGAGGGAAGGTGAGTAACATGACAAGGGGAACATTTCTCTTTGTCCTACATTCTTTGGCACCCAGCAGGAGCTGTGTGTTGCCTATTTTTGTGTATGTGTGTTTCTAAACTTCCTAAATTGAATCAGAAGAAGACCTTAACTTAGGGATACTGAAGGAGAGAACCAACCTAGAACTAAGGAGAAATTTCCTGACAGAATAATTAATCAGTGAACAATTAATCAGTGGAACAACTTGCCTCCAGAAGTTGTGGGTGCTCCAACACTGCAGGTTTTAAAGAAGAGATTGGACAACCATTTGTCTGAAATGGTACAGAATATAGGGTTTCCTACCTGAGCAAGGGGTTTCATGATTGAAAGAGAATCTCTCTCTCTTTCCCTCTCTGTCTCTCTCCCTCCCTCCCTCCCTCCCTTCCTCTTTACACCATCATCATCAAACCATGTAGCTGTAACATCGACTGTTGAAATTGTAGGATTTTATACTAGCAATACAAATGGATAACAGACCCTCCCACCAATATGCAGAAGAATCCTGCAGCTTCTGAGATGAAGTGACATGAATGTATCTTGTATCTTTTGGTCTATTCATCATGGAGCTCCGAAATTCTTCACATACTGACCTGCTGACTTAGCTCATTTTTGTGGGGGGAAAATGCCATGAATTGGATGTTTTCTTAGCTTTCCAAAGCATAGTGGGTTCCCTCCTAGTCCCAACTGTCCAGTAGTAGATACATTTAAGGAATTTTTGCATTAACAATGTGGTCTATCCTGTCTGAAGAGTGCCTTTATTAATCTCAATCAAAACACCCATTTTAGGACATGACTGCAGGCTAATCTATTGCCATATTTGGCTTTTTCCCTTTGGAGTTACACATTTTCTTCCTGGTAAAATAGAAAAACATGCTTACATCATCTTCAAAGCATGTGATTGAAAAACTAGTCAAATTTGGCATCCTGGCTAACTCACCATTTATTGACATGACAGATCAAATTGCATAATTGAGTCAAAAAGGCCTATCAAAATTCCAACCAGAAGCTGACTTGATAAAATCATATTACTTCTTTATATATTGTTGTTGTTATTATTACTGTTATTCCCATTATCATGGTTTTTGGATTTCACAAAGAAAAAAGGAAGAGCTATTTGAAGAAAATTATATCACAAAACATTGTTTCCTGATATGCCCTATTTTCTTTTCTCCCAGCTGTGTATCTTTTCAAGCTAAGCAACCAGTGCTAATATTTAAAGAACATGTGCAAGAATTCATTTAAGCTTGATGTTTTATAAGCCTTTTAAAAATACTGTTTCTTCTTCCCTTCCATTAATCTAAGATAAATCTAAATAATTATTTTTATATCATATATTGATAATACAGGAAAAAAATACAGTTTCACATCTAATAATAGGAGTAATTTTATGCAGTATGTGCTTTAAAACCAAGGACAGTACTGCATTATGTCAAAATTAGACTTCAGTTTCATTTAGAACTCATTTTTTGTGTAATTTTTCAGGCAGAAGAATGAGCCATTATACAAATAGTTTTTAAATTTACAGTTTGTTCAAAGTGCAATAAGCTATCATACCTTTATGGTCTCAACCGAGGAAGCACCTAATAAAAAAGAAATGGCAGAGAGAGAGAGAGAGAGAGAGAGAGAGAGAGAGAGAGAGAGAGAGAGAGAGAGAGAGAGAGAGAGAAATGGATTGCTTATTAATATTCCTATTTATACAGGAAGATGGAAAACTTAAGTCAAGAGAATTATTGACTGCAGAGGGATATAGCTTTCAATGGTTTTCATATGCACAATTAAGAGAAAGCT